TCCAATCACAAAAACAAAAATTTTCCTGTTCCATTTTTATTGAAGAAGCAGCTGTATATGATGTCGAAAAGCCTAGTCTTTAATTTATAGTGAGGAATGGTTGTTTAAAGTGTAGAAAAGTAGTTTTTATGTTATTGCCTTTTTAAATAAATAAGTTGTTGTTTTTTTTTTAATTTATAAAAGTTCTTTGGAGTTTATGAGAATCCACCCCTGATTTACACCACTTCTAGAAAATGCTGTAGCACAGTAGGTCTGAAGTTTCTCCTTTACAGCATGCAGTTAATATTTTTGTAAGGAGTAAAGACAGGGGCTTGGAGGAGCATTCGCTGGACCCGGCAATGTATGTTTGTTTGTAAGTATTTTCATTAAGTTTTGGAATCCAGTCTGGTAAGGGTAGATCGAACTCGTCTTGGTAGACTGGAATGTTAAAAGTATTAAACACTGAAACGTGATTTTGAAGAATTTCATCCTTAGAAAGTGAACTGTGAGTGTTAGTTAGGTTTCCAGACGTAGAATTAAAACCAAGTTCTTCTAAAATACAGTTATAATAATAAGCCTTACAAACAAAGACGATTTTGTAACAAACCTTGTCTGTTTGAACTATAACATATTGTTCATGTATAGTCTTTCTAATTCTTTTACCACCTTTGATTTAGAAAAAAGGGAATCGAAGGATAGATGGCTCGTATATTGTCTTTTAGCTGTCTAATACGATTCTTTAATATATTTCTAAAACACTTCATTCATTCTGACAAAGTGTTCGGGTCATACCTTTCATATTTAACTCAACGTCTGACATAATCTTCGACAGAATTCATAATCGAAATGAAATTCTGTCGCCAATTGGAAGATCGGGGCTCCCTATATTTAGAACCTTTTAAGCTGTCTTCAATTTCTACTATATTAATATCACCAGTAATGACGTGTCCAATGGGACTGTAGTTAAAAGAAGTTTCTACTATATTAATATCACCAGTAATGACGTGTCCAATGGGACTGTAGTTAAAAGAAGTTTCTACTATATTAATATCACCAGTAATGACGTGTCCAATGGGACTGAAGTTAAAAGAAGTTTCTACTATATTAATATCACCAGTAATGACGTGTCCAATGGGACTGAAGTTAAAAGAAGAAGAGCAAGGACACTTAAGGGGGTTTGTTTTAGGTGTTCAATATCTGGGCACTGTAAGTTTTGTTTATAATTGAAAAGTTTGGAAGCAACAGTTTGGGAATATCAGTAGGAAATGCAGAGTGTAGACGTCAACTTGAAATATGGAGGAATGCAAGAGTGAACTTTTTATGATTAGGAATGTTACTAATTATAATGCTCACATCCCTGTTGGCAAATTCAAATTTAAGTACCCGACGGGTTGAGTCAGAATTATCTTCAGACTTGCTTTAGATTTTTCTGAAAGTCCATTCAAAAATTTAAAGGGAACCGAGTAAACTTTAATGCGAATATGAGGAAGACTTGATTGTTTATTGACATATTAAGGCAAAAGTGAATCAAAAGAGACATCATGTATTTGGTTTATTGTGTGAGCGATATCCATGACAACGCCTACGTCTAGGTGTATTGTTAGTAGGTACCATCACATGCACATTGGCACAGTGTTGGGCTTGAAAGATACCCTACGTTATTTATTTGGTTGTTGCAACCATACAGAAAGGCCGTGTCTAGTTGTTCTGAACCAGTATTCTCGTGGTTTACGGAATGGAGCACTTAAAGTGGGACTATAAGTTGAATCATATGTATTTTTTTTTCCAAAATTCTAACCGTCATTGAAAGAATAGAGTGGTCAGGCAAATTGAAATGTTTATAAAGATGTTGATGACCCCCATTATATATTTCAAACCTATGCCCCCGACATTCTCTTCATGAGGGATCCCTTTGTTTCCCCAATATAAATCAATCCGGATAGAGTACTTTACTTATGTGTTTTTTACGCGGACGATACGAGACTTGGTGATGTCCAATGAGATAATTCAACTATAGGAGTCCATACTAGTCTCTAGTGTACAAGGATGTCATTTCGTTCTTAATGCTCCCTGCCTTAGAAAGAAACAAGAGTTTCTCTGCATACATTTGTCCAGGATGGGGAAACCAGGGTTAAATACCAGACTATAATTGTTAGGAAAACAAAATTCAAAACATATTGGTCTATATCTAATTATCAGGGTGACCATGCACTTTAGCTTGGCACTTAGCTCACCCGTACACTGCAAAAAGATTTTGAAAGCAGGGATATATGAGTTGTTATGACAAACTTGATTTTAAAAAAAATTATAAACAAAACAAAACAATTTTTTACAACAAAAAACCGAAACAAATTAAAATAAAAGAAATGTCTATCTGCTGACTTTCCTGCATGGAAAGTTTCATCAAGAATGACTAAATTGTCACCGCATAACTGTTCATACGGTCATAGGGGTATCTTAAAGGATAAATTTAGTTTGTTATACTCACACTATATACAACACTTGTATATTCGAAATCTACATAAATAAGATGATTTTTTATATACACTGAATGAAATTAAAGATGACAAATCGAAATTGTAAAAAAAAAATTAATTGATCAATTAATCAAAACTAATTAAAAAAGATTACAGGTTCTAGTTTCATTTGGATTGTTTGACTATATCCCTTGTGATTATTAGGGTAAGGTGGTGTGATTTTGTCATTTTTTTTTAAATCTCCAACAAAACAACAATTAAGGCCACATCAGTCAAGCTATATTATTCAGAATTCCCATGTTGTATAGTGTGGACATTTGATTGACTCCTTGCGACTATGATGAAGCCACAAAAGAGGAAAGAAATCTGCTAATACATATAGTAGTACCAGTACTTAACTGATACCAGTACTTAACTGATACAAGTACTTATAACTGATACCAGTACTTAACTGATACCAGTACTTAACTGATACCAGTACTTAACTGAGTCGGGAGCATTGCACGACGGAATAGCTCTTTTCCAAATTTCATAGTTTTCTTACTTTAACAAATTTCTGTATATATGTTTGAATGCATTTATATTTATTATAAAGACCGAAGAAATAAATTTATTAAAAAAATATATATATGCAAGAATTTCAATTGCAAAATAAATTTAGAGAAATTCATTGATGAAGTTTAACTCTCTATGCAGATATTGTCAAAAATGATATCGTTCCTTTTTTTCTCGGATGATCAGGCGGGATGCTAGTTCTCCCATGAAGTTTTAAAAGTGGAGTGGTTACGAGAGTATCTTTGTCACCCCCCCCCCCCCATTCCCATTCTTTTGTACTTGGAATAGTAAATACATTCCGAAAATATAGGGTATCCGTATGAAATGACCTTTTTGGATAGTCAAATTTCTTCACTATTAAGGTGTAATTAACTAGAAGAAATAATTCACCGACTGTGTCCCTTCCAACCCCCCACCCCACCCCACCCCTTCATCAAAGTAGTACATTTTAATGTACTATGTAGTAAATCCTTATAATTTACATTTCTCGAGTGAACTTTCTGTGTATTTTAACAAAATTTTAATCACCGAACTGGAGGACAAATCCACTCGACCGACCCCCACTCCACCCCCACACACCTTCGCCTCTGTTTCTTCTTGGATACTGTCAAATTATCTTATTTACGAAATACATCTTATTTCTCCGTTAAATACATGTGTATTTCATAAATAAAACACTTTTAAGTAGTCATGATCTGTCGTATAATTATCAAGAATTTCGATTTTGTCTAATCTTAGATTTATATCCTTTAATCCGCTCCCGTAGATCAATACACCTTATCTACCTGAGCGGATCAAACGGCAAGATTTTAATCAGATTGTATTTTTCGTCTAAGTAAGTGGGATCTGGATCTGTGATGGAAAGCCTTAGGGTATCCCAACATCTTAAATTGTTTTTTCTATATAAGTAAACCAGAAATAAAAATCTCAACATAAAAATTTGTGCTTTTTTTTAACAACATTAGTATTTTACCTCAACAATTATCATCTTGTCTGTCCATGTGTACACTGTAATAAAAAATTGAAAAGGTCGGGGAATTAAAATAGATTGATGGGTTATTTTATTTTATTTTGTTTTAAATTGTCAACCTATATATATATTTTTTTCTATGCTTCGATGGTGAATGGCCAAGGGCAATTTTTTTTTCATAAACACGTGTCTAAATGTCATGAAGCAGGATCAAACATAATTAAAAACTTCCGGGTGAGAATAAAAAGTTATAAGGTGTTACATGGAAAAGCGTATACATATAGTTTGATTTATTACATAGTTGCACTCTGTAACCTTCCATCAAATGAAAAAAAATATTTTGTTGACATAAATATGAAACTGATCGAGTCGTTTTTCATAATCATTAACTTACATGTAACACTGAAATATATAAAAATGTGTAGGAATGTACATAAATCACCTTTAAAAGAATTTTTTTTAAAAAAAGAATAATAAAGCAATAACAACAAGAAATAAAATAAACAGCAAAGAAAAACAAAACAAAGCCAAAATAATGAATAAATAAATTAAATGTATAAATTGTCCAAATGATGAAGTCAATTCCATGGAAAGAAGAATTGAGAAAAAAAATTATTTTAAGTCAACGACACTTTAGGGGAAAATAACGACACCGCATCAATTTATGAATTCAGATAATTTAGTAAGCGTTTAATCAGGGACATATATAATAACGTTCGTATATACGTCCCTGTCTTGATATTATTTTTTAACATAAAAAACGCACCCAAAATCAGCAAGATAATTGTAAAAAAAAATTCTATCCTTGAATAGTTTTCAAATGTTTATTAAACGTTTGATTCGTGATAATAATAATTATGGTTTTGTTTATCATTTCATGTTTGTTTTGACAATAATGTGTAGTCATTCTCGTATTTTCAGGATCCCGTTAGAAAGGCGATTCCTTACTCATCCTATATCTATTTTTAGAAAATCCGTCATCGAGAAGACCCTTTTATGACGTCACAATTGAATGCCTCCATATGGTAAACAGTTTAGCCAATGATACGGTGCGATCGTGATCATGTGACTTATAATAATGGAATAGTGTCATAGGGGATAATTGTTACACGTACAGACTAGAAATAAGGAAGAAAACAAAGAAACTAGAGGTCTTCAGGTTTGTTGAATATGGAAATTGATGAATCGATAATTGAAATATGATTTTTAGGATCATTATTGCTAAAAATGAAGGATGTATATCATAGATTTGTGCGATATTTTGTTGTGTTTCTGAACAAGGTCGCCATTTTGCTGACAGAAATACCAAACAAACTACGATCTAGGGTGGGTCATATTTTACGAACTAATGAACTTTGGTCCCAGAAAATCATATGAATGGACAGAAAGTCAACGTAAAATGATACCTAGAGTGAATTAACTGAACAATCTGCTTTATAAGTCTAGTAATCGACCATTTCCTTTTGTTTTATAAGTTTCAATTCTGCTTCATCATGGCCAATAATTTGATGACGAACATCGTGTTTACGAAGATTGCATCTTCTGCTGCATAATAAGTTTAGATTTACATTTCTCTAGTTTAAAAGTGATATCTTCTATCAAAGTCTTATGATTTAGTTGTCTTGGGACTCACTTTTTGGCCTGCTTCAATCATAGAATATCACTTGTGTTTATTTGACACATTGACATACATAAAACATTCACCCAGTTTTAATTATGTGTCGGAATGGAAAATATGATATCAGTAACAATTTTACTTACATAGCCTGTAAAAGTTCAGACTTTTGAAATACTGACCTATAAATAATCATTAATCATTACTTGCCCTTACTTGGTTAACAAGATGATTCACTCCAAGTCAATGTACAAGTTCATTTATCCAGACCTGCAATGACTGGACACCCTTCCCTTGCTATAAATTAGGGACTTCTTGCATTTATGCTGGTACATTTATTAAGTTCAATAAGCCACATTGTTATGTCTTTGTTCATATGACTGTTGTGCTTGGAAATATTTACAGCATGATAAGGGAAAGGAACTGACACCTACTACTAATGCTATAATCCATCTTTTATTAATCGATTATATCCATCAGGGCTCTACATTAACTTTTTTTTCCCTACTTGTCCACTCTGACAAGCGACCGAGACATTTACTTGTCTGATCTTCAATTTCACTTGTCCGAAACTTTTTCAGTAAAGATCTAATACTGTCAACTTGAAAACTAAAATAAAGTCCATTACATGTGCTTGATTGATTTTTGATGCTATTGATAAATACAACAGACCCACAAAACAAAATTTTATCTAGACTTTCTGTCCTGACAACAACATAAATGTTTCACAAGTGAAACTGTCAACATCGAACAGAATCCAAACTTCGTAAGTTTCATGCCTTTGCAGTAGTACAGTTAGTGAACTTCGATCCCGATTGAATGTGAACTCAGTTACAAAGTGATCCATATCAGGATCAAAGTTCGTTTTTTTTTTTTTTTTGTATTGCTTCTGTCTTTTAAACTATTGATAAACTTTCAACATTTTTTCTTATTATTAATTGGAGACTTCTTTACATTAAAATGCACTTGTCTAATTGGACAAGTCCCCAGCAGTATTCACTTGTCCATAGTTTTTTTTTTCACTGGTAGCGGACAAGCGTTAATGTTGAGCCCTGTCCATGGACATATACATTTAACAAATTTCTGTTATGAAAATAATGAATGTAAAAATGGAAATATGACAAATTGTAAAATATTGAGATAATAACATACATTTTCATGATTGTCAGTCGTGATCAAAGGGGAAATTGGAATAAATGTTGTGTCCATGAATAGATCTAGACAAAAATAGCTTTTCCCTTTTCATATGTGGGGCATTAATCTTTATTACGTGCTGTTTTGTTCAATTAAATGGAAATTACAACAAATCCAAACCCATCCCTTCTTATTGTGGATGCCTGTGTACACAATGCATATGTATCATTTGTTGTTGCAGTACTAGTAGAAAATAAAACTGGTGCCAAATATCAATATGCTAAGGCAACCTATTGCCTGCCAGTGAAGTATGCATTTTATTTACAAATAATATAAAACATTTAATTGTATCAATATGATAAGTTAACAACAGACAGGTTTTGGACAAAACAAAAACAATGAACCAGTTTTAACCAGCCCTGACATAGTTCCATATATAGCAGAAGTCAACAAGAAGGATGTGCAACTAAATGTATTATATACCAGCCTAATATAGCCCATATGATTACTGTTTTTATAACTAGAGGTAATATATAAACATGATAAAAGGGGGGAAAAACATGATTTCATTAGTATCAGTCTTCACAATTAGATCGTGTTGAACATTGAACACAGCTACATGTAGTGAACATCCTCTTTGTGAGACTGGACTTAATTCAGAATTTGGCAAAATAAAGTTCAAGGTCAACAGATTTGATCAAGATGGATATATCCTACAGGTCATATTTTTTCAGAATCACAGAAAAAAGAGAAAAACCATTGTGAAAGAATTAAGGATTTGTCTGTGAATTGTAAATTGATACTTATATGATTATTACATGACTGAGGATGTTGTGTTTCTCAATTTTTTTTTCCTTAAGAATTTCAAATTAATTTTAAAAATACTTTCATTTTCATTCATATTTGTACTTTCATTTTCAATTATTTGTCATTTCAGTTTCTTTGAAGATTGGTGTGATTTCTAATCACAACGGCTTTACTTAATATATAAAACAAGATAAAAAGAAATGTAAGTATTAGAAATCCATTGACATATTGTGTATAAATGCACAAACTTACTGTCAGTGAGATTTTTTTTATATAATATAGAAAGGGTAATTTTTGACAGTGATGGTGAAAATTTAGATCACAGATTCAGGTCACAAGGTTAAAGACAAATATAGGTCACCTGGTTCAAGGACAGGTGTTAATTTCACCAACATTCTGCAATTACTGTGTTACTACATTCATGATTTATACAGTTCTTATAGAATTTTTGATTTTGAATAATCAAAAGTGTTATCATTCAGGGAAATAGATATTTTATATAAATTCTTTGAAGTGTAGCTCTTCATGTAAAACAGTCTTCCATCTCACAAAATTTTTGTTTTGTAAGAATTTTCAATGTTTATCGGTTTCTACATTGTCAGCTTCTGACAACAGAGTCAAAAATGATCACTAGTTCACATGCTGCTGATTATCTAACAAGAATTTACTCTAAAAAGAAAAAAAAAACAAAATTTCAGATAATAAAAATGGATATGGAACAGAATGGTAATCAGAACCCATCACCTCTGTGTCGTGCTGGGTGTGGTTTCTATGGTAGCTCCTCCTTTGAGGGTATGTGCTCCAAGTGCTATAAAGATGCGATGAAGCGTAAAGAAAACGCCCCCACGATTAGTGGTCGCCTCAGTCCAGCGGCTACCACGGTTACTGCATCAGGTGAGACGGATTCCGTGGGAAACGTGACCTCAACCTTAGCTCACACTTCTCTAGGTACGGTATAACCTCGTCTGTTTTCCCATCGATCATCTGCTTGCTTTTCCTGGCTTTCCCATCGATCATCTGTCTGCATTTCTCTGCCTGGCTGTCTGCTCCTTGTCTATTTTCCCATCGATGAACTGTCTGCTTCTCCATGTTCTAACTGTTTTCCCATTGTTCAAGTGTCTGCTTTTCCTTGTCTGTTCTCCCGTTTTTAGCTCACCTGAGCTGAAAGCTCAAGTGAGCTTTTCTGATCACATTTTGTCTGTAGTCCGTCTGTCCGTCTGTCTGTAAACTTTTCACATTTTCGACTTCTTCTCCAGAACCACTGGGCCAATTTCAACCAAACTTGCCACAAAGCATCCTTGGGTGAAGGGGATTCAAGTTTGTTCAAATGAAGGGCCATGCCCTCTTTCAAGGGGAGATAATTAAGAATTAGTGAAAAATGAATAGCATCTTTAAAAAATCTTCTTATCAAGAACCACAGGGCCAGGAAAGATGAAACTCATATGGAAGCATCCCCAGGTAGTGTAGATTCAAGTTTGTTCAAATCATGACCCCCGGGGGTAGGGCGGGGCCACAATGGAGGATCAAAGTTTTACATAGAAATATATAGGAAAAATCTTTAAAAATCTTCTTCTCAAGAACAGTAAAACCATGAAGAGTCATATTTATAGGGAAGCATCCTCAGGAAGTGTAGATTCAATTTTGTTCAAATCATGACCCCCGGGGGTAGGGCGGGGCCACAATGGAGGATCAAAGTTTTACATAGAAATATATAGGAAAAATCTTCTTCTCAAGAACAGTAAAGCCATGAAGAGTCATATTTATAGGGAAGCATCCTCAGGAAGTGTAGATTCAATTTTGTTCAAATCATGACCCCCGGGGGTAGGGCGGGGCCACAATGGAGGATCAAAGTTTTACATAGAAATATATAGGAAAAATCTTTAAAAATCTTCTTCTCAAGAACAGTAAAACCACGAAGAGTCATATTTATAGGGAAGCATCCCAGGAAGTGTAGATTCAATTTTGTTCAAATCATAACCCCCGGGGGTAGGGCGGGGCCACAATGGAGGATCAAAATTTTACATAGAAATATATAGGAAAAATCTTTAAAAATCTTCTTCTCAAGAACAGTAAAACCATGAAGAGTCATATTTATAGGGAAGCATCCTCAGGAAGTGTAGATTCAAGTTTGTTCAAATCATGACCCCAGGGGGTAGGGCGGGGCCACAATGGAGGATCAAAATTTTACATAGAAATATATAGGAAAAATCTTCTTCTCAAGAACAGCAAATCCATGATGAGTCAAATTTATATGGAAGCATCCTCAGGTAGTGTAGATTCAATTTTGTTCAAATGATGACCCCCGGGGGTAGGGTGGGGCCCAATGGGGGATCGAAAGTTTTACATAAGAACATATAGAAAAAAAAAATTCTTCTCAAGAACAGAAAAGCTATGTTAGTCTTATTGATATGGAAGCATCCTCGGGTAGTGTAGATTCAAGTTTGTTCAAATGATGACCCCTGAGATAGGGAGGAGCTACAATGGGGGATCAAATTTTTACAAAGGAATAAATGGGAAAATTCTTTTAAAATCTTCTCAAGTACAACAAATTCATTTTTTATATTGACATGAAAGCATCATCAGGTAGTTTAAAATTCAAGCCCCCCCCCCCCCCCCCCCCCCCACCCCGTTCATTACTGAACTGATTTGTGCCTTAGTCTAGCCAGTGTGCTCAGGTGAGCGATGTGGCCCATGGGCCTCTTGTTTTCTATTTATGTCTGTTTTTCCTTGATTGTCTGTCTCCTTTTCTTTGTCTATTTTCTCATTGATTAACTGTCTGCATTTCCCTGTCTGTCATCATTCTACTGTCTGCTTTTCCTTGTCTTGTCTGTTTTCCCATTGAGCAACTGTGCATTTTCCTATGATCATGTCTGCTTTTCATTGTTCATTCTTTGTGTAGATTTATATTTTTAGTTAAACAGACGACTATATTCTAGTGCTACTCAGAATATGTTGTCAATTTCCTGCTGCAGTTCTGAACGCAGGGACTTCCTATTTGGTTATTTAAACTCAGTTTCAGCATTTTTTTTTTAACATTATATATTTCTTAGGGCATTAATAGAATACAGAAATATTTCTACCTTATCATTTTGTAAAACAATGCTCCAACTGTTCATTTCCATACTTCCTTAAATTCATAATTCAAGGCAAATTCTTGTGCTTCTACCCAAATAATGTCAAAATGTTACCACGCTAGCTAAAAAAAATTCTGACATCTAGTGTCAATGCTTTTCAAAATCTCTGATTGTTTAAAAGTCTTTTGTTTGCATTAATTCTGTTTGGTGCTGCTTTGTGCACTGGTACACACTCTACCAGTATTTTGCTTCCCTTTCCTCTTAGTTTGATCTTTTGTGAACTGGCGTCTGTATTTACATCCTTTTCATTGTTCTGTCTGTGGCATTAACTTTTCCAGTGCTTTGCTATTTGTGTTCTCTGTACATATTCATACAAATTAAATTGTATTTATAATCCTTATGCATATAGTAGGTTATAGTAAGTTATATTTTGAATCTATTTGTAATTAACGGTGTCATTTAACAAGGTACTGAAAGGAGAGGAATAATTAAATATGATGTATATATATAAAGTTGATAAAGGATGTAATTTGGGTTTGATATCTTAACATTAAAAAAAAAAATGTTAAAGTAATATTTCAGTTTATTAAAAGTTCAAAATAATGCAATGATAAAAAGACACCAGTAAAATACTGTGTTTTTTTTTTTGTTTTTTTTTGATTTAGTGATAGGTATTTAGATGTAGACTTGTGATTGTAGGCACCCCAGAATCTGGTAGCTCCAACTCCCTCAAGGATCTCGCTGCCAGCACCACCCCCAGTGTAGAGACGGCTACCCCTACTGTCCCCATCCCCGGGGCCAGCTCCAATAAACAGGAAGCAGATAAGGCTGACACCGCGACAGGTAAAGAACCCCCCCCCCCCCCCCCCCCCCGGAGTTTTCTCTAAGAACAGGCCACGAGCTTAAGTGATGGCGTCACTTAATAAAAATTTTAGTTAGAAATGAAAAAAATCGAAATTTAATTGTATGTAACCGAGATACTTTAGAACTTATAAACCTTGATGCTTGGCCTGTTACAATTGATCTCTAGCCCTTTACTTTGAAATAAAGGAAAAATGCTACCCACCCCTTATCTCTTGAAGAGTGGTCAAACAAATGGTTACTAAAATTTAATCCATCCAAAACTAAGGTTGTATTTTTTAGCACAAGAAAAAACATAGAACCTCCCAAACTCCTATTCCAAGATAGCCAATTAGAATATGTTCAAACTCATAAACATTTAGGGGTAACTTTTTCATATAACTTAAGTTGGTCAACTCACATTGAAATCTTACTGTCTAATGCATACAAAAAAATTGGTCTATTAAAAAAACTTAAATTTAAAATAAATCGAAAGACTCTTTCACTCATGTATACTTCATTTATCCGCCCTCAGCTCGAATACGCTTCAGTTGTATGGGGTGGTGTCTAGCTATCGACTCTGAAAAATTAGAGAAATTGCAACTACATGCAGCACGGATTGTTACTGGCTTGACCTTAATTGCATCTAGAGACTCTTTGTACTTTGAAACAGGCTGGGAACCGCTCATTGATAGACGCAAGATTCAGAGATTGAATACCATGTATAAAATTCATAATAATTTAGTTCCTGATTATCTACGTGAAATTATACCTGAAATGCGATGTAATGCTTCCGCGTATACAACAAGAAACTCTCAAAATTATAATATACCCGTCTGTAGACTGCAAACATACAAATCATCATTTGTACCAACTGTAGTAAATGAGAGGAATTCTTTATCGCTAGACACCAGACTCTCGAGCTCCTTATCTGCTTTTAAAAGTAAAATCACACAAAAAATAACAATAGCCCCGCCTTATTTCAGTTTTGGAAAAAGACGCTACAATATACTGCACACTAGACTCCGACACAATTGTGTGCTAAACATTGATCTTTATAGGTGTAACGTAATATCTAGTCCATTATGCTCTTGTGGTAAGGTAGAAGACACACATCATTATTTTTTCTCATGTCCTAATTACACTGAGGCCAGGAAAGATTTCTTCGATAAGTTTTTGAGATTTAATAAAGTTCATATTGTTGACACTCATACTTTACTCTGGGGGGATACCTCACTCAGTGTTGCTGAAAATGAATATCTCTTCTCTATTGTTCAATCTTATATTCAGCATTCAGGCAGATTTAATTGATTTTTCTAAAAATGTGTATAGATAATAATTTAGCAGTATATGTTTCTATGTTGTGAGTTAATTTACTTTGTACATGCTGTTGGACACGTCTGATTGAATTTTTGTGATATAACATGTAGGGAGAGGGCGAATTAAGTTTTTAGAACTTGTGCCCAATCCCATTGTATATATTTATTGCAATAAAATATGTTCAAATCAAACCCCTTAAAACGCACAAGTTATTGATATATTTAAGTGCACTACAGTTGCAGAGAAAAAAAAATCTTCTTTTTTTTCTGTCATTTCTCTGGAAGAATTTGCAATTTTGCTTGTGACAACTATTGCTTGAATCATACAATAACATTGTTTTTGATTGTCCTGTGTTTCATTAGTAATCAAATTTCAAGTGTTCATATGGTTCTGTTCAAATTAATACCATTCAGACTGAAAGTCACAGGAAATCTATTGGTAAGATAATAATGTTGTAAGTGCTTTTATGGTGACTGTCAATTTTGTTTAAAGGATTTTATGCTGAAGAGAAATACACAGTTTTAATTGTGTGTGGAAGTTTATTCCTAATATTTAAAAAAAAAAAATTACATACATGTATGCTAATCAGTCAAAAGCCAAAAACAAGGAGACAGAGGGTATGCATAGGCTTTGCCTGTTGCCCAATCCTTATTGATTTGTTCAATAAAATATGTTTAAAGTAAAAGCCAGAAAAGTGCATGTAATTGAATATAATGAAGTATAATTATGTACACAACAATTGTGTATTCAGAATGCATTTTTAACTTTTAACATGTTTAAATGTACATGATCATAATGAGTAATTAATAAATTGTAGGAGGGGTTGTAACTGACGTTGCCTCATCACCTGATGATAAGAAATCAAAGAAGAATCGTTGCACCACCTGTAAAAAGAAAGTGGGGCTCACTGGTAATATACACATTCTATTTCTTTGTTGTGTTGATTGTATGTGTATGTCTGTTGCAATGGTGTGTAGCTCACAAAACCTCTTGGTGATCAAGGTCATTTTCATGATTTTTTTTTTAATGCCTCTTCTAGATAAATTGGTGACCAAAAGGAATAATGATAAATAAAACAAAAAATATGTATTGTTTAGGGGGAGAATAGGTGTTTACAATTTATGTCAAGGTTCATTTTGATCTGCATTGAGTTAGAATAATCTCTGTCTCAGGACAGGCCCTCACAACAGGTAAAATGCCACCCATATACATACTAGCAATGGAGCAGAAAAATTGCAGAATCACTCTGAAACAATTTTGGACATCATAATTATAACAAAAGATCATTCTGTCTAATCTTCATCAAGCATTTGGTCATGAGCACAGAATAAAAAAGTAAAATTGATGCAAAGCATCAAATCGGCGGCAAACAAAATTTAGCATTTCAAAGTTATTTCACAATATAATTTTAAAAGCATCCATGCAAGGAAAGCACAAGATATTCAAAGCTGAAAGAGTGATCATTTTTATTTCAGACTGTCTTCAAAGAAAAATAAATAAATAATTTTAAAAAATAAAATAAATAGAAATTTTAGTGCATTTGCTCATCAAATTGAGTCAATGATAAATAATAAGAATTTATTGTCATTAAAATTATGAAGTAGGCCTATTTATATTCAGATCTCAAGATAAACCACGTGCTGATACCCTGGATCTTTGTCACATAATAATGCCCATTGATTTCTGCAGAGTAGGCTATGCTGCACGGTGTGGTGCAAAATGTAGAAAAAATTATCCTTGTGTCATTCGCAGTTGTAGCATATTCAAAACAATTTTTACTAGTTGAACAACTTTTCAATTTTTATTCACCATGCACTTTTACCACTTCATCACTCTCTGTAAAAATCATAATGATTTGCTTTCATATCTTACACACTCCCAGGTTGGGGAGTACCTATTGTAAACTCTTTTTATATAATCATAAATTATCAATTATCTGATGAGAAATGATAATGAAATTGAAACATAATAACAACAATTAAGACTTAGTTTAAAGCAAGTTTTTAAAAATATTTTACTCGTGATTTTATACATGTTATCATTTAAGAATTATTTAACTGAACTAATAAAGAAATAACGTCTCATTTCCTCATGTGCACTTTCTAACACAACCACAAATAGATTGGCCACTGCTGCAGCCGATAATAAGGAAAATAGCAGATATTTGTCTTTGGAGAGTATTTAGATTTCTTTACTATGTGTCATAATGATTGAACAGCTAGTGGCATATATAATCTAACCTTGATAAGCAATTGGTTTCACAGTATCGCAAATTTTTAACATTCTGTCTTGATTGATTAATCGATGAATTCATTGATTTTTTTTCGTTGGATTTGCAGGTTTTCCCTGTCGATGTGGAGGGCTGTTTTGTAGTATGCACAGATATTCGGACAAACATGAGTGTGACTTTAACTACAAGGAACTCGCACAAGAGCAGATTCGCAAGCACAACCCTGTCATCGTGGCTGAGAAAATTCAGAAGATTTAATGCCGTGATTACGTAGGAGTTATCGTATTGTTGTCTTCTTTGGACCCTTGTGTCTAAAAAATTTTTTCTTTGTTTTAAATTGTGTGGGTGTTTTGCATTAATAGAAACATCAGAAAGAGAGCTTCTATTAGATTTAACAGAATGGAGGAATTTAAGGAAATGAAATATATATATATATTTTTTTTTTTTTTTTGGTAGTTTTATTTAAAAGGATTGAGATATTAGCTTCTTGAAGAAAAAAAAACACTTTGTTGATTGTTTATTTCTTTTTTTCCCCTTTTTTGTGGAATTTGGAAAGTATTTATTACAATTAATATATATATTGTTTATGTTTCTTTGACATTGTTTCAGCACTAATACTTTTTCAGTATTTTTTCCCCTTTGGACACCTTATTTTAAAGAAGAAAAAAAAATCTTTGTGTGACTATCAGTCTTTGTCACAGTTATTTATAGCATGTCAACATTTTCAACATTTACATTATTAAATATGAAAATGCATTTACGTTTTTTTTTTTTTTTTGCAAATGTGTACTCCACTAATTGTGTGATTTTATAAAGAACTTGTGGGAGAAAAGGTTAACATCTTTGAACTGTTGTATATGATGAGGAATTTTGAGGGATAGAGTCAGGGTTTTTTTTTTTTTGTTTCGTTTTTTTTTTGTGTATGTTTTAAGTAATATAGGGGTTCATCTAAGAGAGTGTCTTTACATTTTTAATTAGCAAATTCATATTTATGCATTGAAATATGTTTATATCCCACAAGAGCCCTTGAGCATACCCAGTGCTTGCAGTCATTTATATTATGCAGATTCTTACTTTGCCCACGGGCAAGCATTAATATTTCCAAAGCTGTGCCCCTTTCTCCAAGTATTTTTCAAATATAATTTTTTTATGAGTATCAAAACTTTCATGAAAAACAATATTAATGGTGTCGATCTAACATATGTAGTGTTTTATGACCTATTTCAGTTATTGTAATATTGTGTGAGTTATTTTCCCCATTTGTATTTTATTATATCAGACAATAAATTGTTTGATTAGTTAGATAATTAAAATTATTTTACAAGTGGTAATTGTACATAGGAGCTTCTTACACCAGTGCATGTACAGAGCTTGTAAAGTTTGCAATTTTATTTTTTGTGTGAAATTTCAATTACACTATAACCCTTTTCAAGCATCCTTTACCTTGAAATCCTGCCCCCCCCCCCCCCCTTTTTTTTCCTTATTTCTATTGATATTATAGTCAACTTAAAATTTTAATTAACAATATCTCATATATTCCTTGTATAAAATCTTTTTAAATAATTTTCCCTCCACATTCACACACACATACACACCTTTTCAAGAGTGCACTTTTCTCCTTTCCTTAATGTCAATCATTGTAAATGTACCGAATATGAATAAAAAATATTTTTTAATGAATATTTTTTCAGGTTTTTTTTTTTTTTTTTTGGTGATTTTATGCAATTCCACCTACCTGATTGTTTATATCTCCCACTTGTAGCATTATATTTGTAGGGTTGATATGGGATTTTTAGTGTGTGGTTGATTCATTGTGTCTGATGAAAGAACAGTTGTGATTGGCAGTGTGAATGGTATATTTGAAAGAATAATTTTGATTGGTTGTTAAGATGACATTTGAATAATTGTGATTGGATTTCATTTGAAGGATGTTTAAGTGATATAGTGTTTAGCTGTGTTTGATTGGAGTATAAATGTATATGACAGATGGTGTATCAGTAATGCTAGATATCTATAATTAAAAAATATATTCATGTGTATTGTTATTAAAAAAGATTTGTTTGATTAACCATATAACATAGTGATTTTTTTGTCATTTTAAATCCATACACATTTGCAGTATTTCTCTAGAGCATTGAATTTGGTTATTAAAACAAACAAAGGAAATACACAGACATGCATGTATTTGTCACCCCATTTGTCATGTAATGCACAAAAGTACACAAATACAAACTGGAATTAGGACTGTTATATTTTTGTTTTAAAATACGAGGCAATTTTTTTTTATTTTACAAAGCAAGATATGCTATATTCGGGTTTCAAATTCAGCATTGTTGTTAATTTTTTTTTCAATTTAAGTAAAGTTCACTTACAAAATTATGCTCTCAAACTTCTCAAGTGAAGAAAAATAATGTGTATATGTGTGTACATGCTTCTACATTATAACATTGCCACCACTGTTATATGCACTTTCTATACAATATCATACATAATGCTTTTTGAAAAAATCCATTTAACCCTCGTCAGATTTTTAGTTTCATTTCATGGAACGATTTCATCATGAGCTGTGAAAATATTTAAATAAACTTGTTATAGATGCAGATTCTCAATGTTTTCATTGTCAAAGAGTGAATAAGACTCTTTGCTATGAACTCTGTTGCTGGTAATTGTTATTTCACTAGTTACTGTAAAATCATATATTTTCCTGGGGTCAAATTTTTGTGGGGGGGTCCATGAGGTTTGGATTTCCTGGTTGGAGAAGTCTAGAGTTGTTCATATTTCGAGGAGGACATAAATTTATGGGTCTCTTCATGCAATGAAAATGAAATCCCCATGAAAATTAATGCTTTCATAGTAAACTAAATTACCAAGAAGGGATTTGACTAGCCATCATATGACTCAAGTAACATTATTTATGAAAAACTGGGATAAATGGTACAGTTAGTAGTGTTAAATTTTCATTAAGATGGTGTATATTCTTCAACAGGTACTTGTGTGTATTACTGTATACAGGGTTATTTTCGCCCTTTACACATGCAAATATTTTTACCCCATTTTAAATTTTGCCCAATCACAGTTCTGTTTAAGAAATTATACTGTGTTTTTAGGATTTGGCCCATTTTAAATTCACCCTACCTGTGAGTAGGGTGAAAATAAAACGGGCAAAAATTTCCCCTTTTTAATACAGTATAGGGACTGTGTCCTTATCAATTGATCAATCCAGGTTCTTTGATTCATTTCCAGATTGTCTATAATAACTTAAAAATGAAAAGAAAGATAAAACGAAAATTTTTAATTTATTATAATAATAGAAAACAAAATAACAAAAATCAATACTTTTAAGTACGGGAAATTAATTTAGAAATAATTTACCTGTTAAATGGCCAAAAGAGGGAGAGGGGAAAAGCTTGCAGTCCTTGGACCAACAAAGAAAGGCTCCAAATGAAAGAAACACCGCTTTATATATGATTTAGAACAAAAGAATTTAAATAACAAAAGAAAGGAGACTCTAGAAGGTGTTCAGTATAAATGGAAAACAAATGGATCGGACTTCAGATTCCTGGAATTAAGTTTAATTACATTACTACATGTACACTTGATTTAATGCTTTATTTCTTAGATATTTTGCTTACTGGAAGACTTCATGAGAAGAAATGTTATGTCTCACTATATCGATGGTTCTGTTTCCAATCTTGCAGTCTTGGATAAACCATTTCTTGTATTTACTACTGTAAGCCAACTATTATTCGTGTCAACTTTTATTTGCGATTCGTCAGTTTGAAATCAATCTGCGAAGATTAATTTTCGCGACTGAGGAAGCATTGTCTACAAATACAAAGCAAAATAAATGGTTCACGGCGATTAATATTCGCAAGATAAAGTAGGTCCCGAAACTCACAAATATTTCTCGCACGCGAATAAAAGTTGGTTTACAGTATTTAAGTAATGAAACGACACATGTAATTGCCTAGTTACAAATGCATTTTGTAAAAGGCCGGCCAAGAATCGGTGACATTTTGGAAAGACACTCCACTTCCCTTTCATTCCTGCTTCAACTTGCCAATACATTTACTTGTCTTTAATAATTGGACCTGGGTATGCCCATGCTAGACAAACCATAAGTATTACAAATAAAGCTTGCAAGTTAAATATGGTGATCTAGACAGTATGCTGCCTGTAAATTCCTTCTCAAGCCTGCCATGTAAGAATATGGCAAGCACTAATTATAACAGATTGAGAATGTATACTAGTAGACAAACAGACGGAGTAGTAATAGGGCAGAATGTATGCCCATCATCAAATTTATACCTGTATCAGTTTCAGAATTAAGGACTTAATTCTATAAATGAAATAATACATGTAGTAGGGCTGGGACGATATATCGAGATATCAATACATGTAATATTGATTCAATATGAGGATGATACGTATATCGATACCTATGAAGAAATATCCCAAAAAAAATTCTGACTCATGTTTATTCTTTGTTTACTTAACATTTTGGGTTAAATATATAAAATAAATATGCAAATAAATATTTAAAATAAATATGCAAAATATAAAATTAATATGAAATACATAATAATACAAACACCACTTGTGTAAAAGAATTTTGTTTTACAACAGATACACAACTTCTTTAAATAATTTTTTCTTATTTAAGTGAAGAAATATTGTGTTCATTTCAATACAAAAAAACATTTTATAACTAATTATTCAACATATCGTGATACATATCGTATCCTGCTTCAAATATCGTAATACATATCAATATAGAAAATGTTGTATCATCCCAACATGTAGGACCTCAGGATATGTGAACTCAAAGTAGGTCACAATTGTTTGATTGGACATTGTTTTATCAAACTCTGTCAGGTGATTCATATTGGGATCATTGGCATCTTTGCTAGCCAAGGGTTTCTTATCCACTCTCCTCTCCTTTGATTTGAGGAGAGTAGCGGATCAGAAACCTTTGGCTAGCGAAGACGGGTCATTGGATGACCCAACTAAAATAATATGTCACAGTGACCTACTTTCTTTAAATTTTATGGCTATTCATTTTCAAAACAATATATGTATAGCTAAATGATCTGGATACTAGGAGGTTAAAATCATCAAAATTTGTCAGTTGATGCATCTCTGAGGCCTCCTATTTTGTCAACTAAAAAGTAGGTCATGGTGACCTACTTCCTGAATTTATGGCTATCATTTTAAAATCTTTCAATGTATATATTTTGATCAGTGTTATCTGTAGGGATATCAAACTTAAGTAGTTGCTAATCTTTGGGTCCTGAGATATGTAAATTCAAGAATGGGTTACAGCGAATTACTTTCTATTATTCCCCTGGCTTGAAAATTTTTAACCTATATATTTTGAACACTATCACATGTACGGTAGGTTCACCAAACATGAATTGTTGATGTATGGGATCAGGGGATTCATTAATTTAAAAGTAGGTCAAATTTATCACTTTTAAAAAAAAATTATATTGTAATGTTTTTTAAGCCCTGGTACTAATTAAGATGCCTAGTGATCATTACACCTTGTCAGTTCACATGCCTTTAGGTCTTTGGATATGTTGATCCAAAAACAGGCCACAATGACGTACTTATTTGAATTTGATCGTATTTCATCATCAACTATTTTGAATACTAAGAGGTCTATAATCATGGCATCTTTACAGTTGATATGCATCTTGGGGCCTCAGAATATGCTACTTCAAATGTAGGTCACAGTAACTGACTGTCCTTCATCTTCAAATTTTTTTTATGCATATCATGAACACTAATGCAGAGTTGTTCCCTAAGAATTGAAATAGCAGGGGACTTTACAAAAGTAGAAAGGGGTCTGGGGTTCCTCTCATTGCAGGAGGTTGAGGGGTAATACCAGACTAACCTGGGGATTACATCATTATAAGGGGGGATTCCCCGGTTCTTAAGGACAACTCTGCTAATGGTATGAAGCTTAGGATCATCACAGTGACCTACTTTCAGCTTTTCCTTTCCAAAACTTTTTAGCTTAATATCTTGGATGCTTCGAATCATATCAAACTTTGTCTGTTGAGGCATTTTGTTGCATTGCAATGTGTTGATCTTAAATCAGGTCACGGTGTCCTAATTTCTGTTTTTCATGTCTTAACTTTTTAAAATCAATCAACCTACATATATTTTGAGCACTTTGACAATTGTAAGGTCAACAAATCAAAAGATTTGATGCACCTTAGGTCACAGGGATGTGTCAATCTTGAAGTAGGTCCCAGTGACCTATATCTAAAATTTTATCACTTTTGATTGTCAAATCATTTCTGCTTCAATATACGTACTAAAAGGCCTTGGGTCATCAAATCTTGTCAGTTGATATACCTTTGGGCCTCGGGATATAATGACCCAAAAGTAGGTCACAGTGACAGCGTTCTGCTATTTATCAGAAGAGCAATTCTGGGTCCTTAAAAAATTGGGCCTCTTGTTAAAAATATTTCATGCTGATTTATTTTTTTATGATAATGAATGAAAATACCATTAAACCTGGACATCCTTTTGACAGTACAAAAATGATTAGTTCATTGAAAGACTGAAAACAGCAGAGATTGAAAATGGTTCAAACAAATATGTTTTTAAAAAACGTTTTAATGACCATAATTGTCATGGATTGTTCCAGAAAATGAGTATTTCTTGAAAACAATATAATTCTTCTATATATACAAATATCTTCCACTTTACATTGTCTTAAAATATTAACATCTATCTACATCATTAAATTATTTCAACAGGAGTTATACATGTTATACAGAGTTATTATTCCTTAAATCCAGTTATTGAATTATCTTGTTGTTTAAGACAGGATTCATCAAAGAAAAAAAAATTTTAAATTCAATGTTTGATAGAATTATGTTCAACACATTAAACTAAATAAAATTTTAAATGAAACATACAAATCCTTTTCAAACAAAATATATAAACTGGCTTTGAAATAAAAATCTTTTGGTCGGGGGGGGGGGGGGGGGGGGGGGTTACAATGCTTATTCAAATGTACATGCACAAAACAAAGTATCATTAAATAAGTAACTGTAAAATCACATATTTTTGTGGGGTCAAATTTTTGTGGTTTTAGGAAAAAAAATTGGTTCATGAGGATATGATTTAGCGGTTAAAGAACTGTTGAGATATCATATATTTAGAATATTTGGGATTTCTTAAATCAATACCATGAAAACATTAAAAATTAGGCCCCTATGAAAATTAGTGATTTCACAGTGTTCTGTGCTGCAGGAATAATATCATATCACACTGAGTATAAAAAGAAATTTAAAAATATCAATTAACAGGAAAAAGCAACAACATTTATATATTAAATAGACTTAAAATATTTTGAACAATAACAAAGACACAGCTGTAATGGAGTCGTATCTCAGCTTAACATATCATTAATAAAATGGGGAATTTTTTTTCTTTTACGCATGAGGCCATTGGAAGTTTTTTTTTTCTATGTTTAGCGTCCGCGGACAGATTGGTTTTGAGGTTATAAAATTGAAAACAAACAGAAATTAAAATCAACAAATACAAATCTTTGAAACTCTATTTTACTCAGAAACTCTCTTTTTTTTAAAAAATGTGTAGCAATATTGTTTTGTTTCAATTAACTAGGAGTTGAACTTAGTTACCATACGAGGAGAATTCTCAAATGACGATAAGAAATTCTAGAATTGTGCTTAAATTGTTGTGTTTTTTCCCTTTTGGTTTGGGTGTTTTTTCCGGATAGAAAGATAAATTTTGAATTTAGGGTGGATGCTAAAAAAACCCAAACAAACTTGGAATGGCCTGACTGTAAGAAAACACTAGTATAAATGTACCGGTATACATGTACATACGATGGCCGATAGCAGCCGACAACTTACACTAACGTTATGTGTGTAACATGTACAGCATTTTCACTGAAAACTCACTGACACATTACACCTAAAAGGAAAAGTGTACAAAGTGTACAGTGTCAAAGCAAATTCCGTGTACACTCTACACCAAAGTTATGTGTGTAAAGTGTCAGAAAAACTTTCATGTACACTCTACATCTAAAGGTGAAATCAAGATTCAAAACAGAACCAGACGTGTTTCTTTGTGTTGCTCCCGCAAGGTACCTCTTGAAGTTCACATAGATCTGGCAACAACATTAAAAAAACAAATTCAAGATACTAAAAAATCAAATTTTGACTTAAGTCTATTCTCATTTTATGGTTTTGGGGCCTGAGGAAATGCTGGCAAATTAAGTTCTTTGGTAAATAATCAGTAAAGAGCAAAAATTAGTATTTTATGATAGGTTTAAAAGGGTCATCAATTAAATTACAGGTACTTAATCAGATCATGATAATAACTATCGAAAATGCTATTTAGGACACAGCTTGGAAAACGGATCAGTCTGCCAGTAGGAGAGGTACATCAGCATTCAAATTTTCCAGTCAAAAAATGGAAAGTGATAATTATCACACAATATAAAACAATTCTTGTTTTCATTTCACATTGTGTGAAAATGATTGTGAATATTACTGCTAAGTAAAAGAAAATGATTCACTTTATATATTTTGAAATGTATTATAACCTTTCATCCATATTTACTAGAAACAAGATTTTTCACTTCCAGAACTATATGAACTGTTTGATATCTTCTACTGGACAGACGCATTTATTTAGCCATTTCCTTATAGCGAAAATATAAATAAAAATTACTTAGCTTTATGTGAACATCAAGAGGCACTTTGAGGGAGCAGCACGATAAAGAAACATTGGATCTGTTTTGAATCTTGATATCACCTTTAGGAGTAGAGTGTACATGAAAGTTTTTCTGACACTTTACACACATAACTTTGGTGTAGAGTGTACACGGAATTTGCTTTGACACTGTACACTTTGTACACTTTTCCTTTTAGGTGTAATGTGTCAGTGAGTTTTCAGTGAAAATGCTGTACATGTTACACACATAACGTTAGTGTAAATTGTCGGCCGCTATCGGCCATCGTATGTACACGTATCTAGGTCTAATTACTTCTAAGCACAAGTGAAAAACTAATAATACTGATGTATTGTATTCTTCATAAGTGAGTAAATTTATATTAGGACATTCAAAAATAAATTTTGTTAAAATAATTATCATGCTATGTGTAATGACCCTTTTAAATATATTTTTAAATCAACAGAAAGAGGGAAAAATCTAATGATTCATACTTAACAGTTTAATAATACAACATCTTGTGGAAAAATCAGTCTTTAACTCAACATTTTTTTAAAATCTTTTGAAAAATAAAACTACAAAAAACTAGAATTAACAAAAATAATAAGTATTACATAAAATCAACAAAAAATCATGAATTTATGCATGATCATTATAAGATTACATGGTCAAACTGACTTAATTTTTAGATTCCTGTTCCAGTTTACAAAACAAGGGAGGAAGGGGGGGGGGGGGGGAGGGATTATATGTTATATTTTGGTTCTTCAAAATATCAGAATCTATATCACATTCTTTTCATACAAATGCTAATTTTTTTTATTGATGATTCTTATATGTATATACGTGAACCAATTTTTTTTTTTTTTACGGGTCACATTTAATTTCTACAACAAAAATTCTTTATAATATCATGTATTTTTTTCTTTATTTACCAGTAGCCTGTCTTTCATATACATGTATAGTGACTTCTTTTTCTCTTTCACATTTAAAACAACCACTAAAAAACAATCAATGAAGAGATATTTTTTTTCATTGGAGAAATGTGGTTGGGGATGAGAATCTGAATATTAACTTCATTTGGCCTAATATGAAAACACAAAAATAACCTCAATCCCATAGCATTCAAAGCTACATATACAATTAAATAAAAATATGGGCTGCATAGATTTCAGTAGAGTATTTTACAGAAAGGAGTCATTGACAATTGAAAAGTGCACAATAACATCAGACACTAACTTTACAAGTATTAATTCATGTTATTTTTTCAGACAAGGCCTACAGGTTGAAGCAGGAACATAGAAAAGGTAATTGTCAAATCTTGGAATTCAACCTGTGCCCTCTGACCTTTTAACTTTTGAGTTCACCAGCTCCACAGGAATATTAAAATTTTGTTTTTTTGCAACCGACCCAGAAAAATTACCACAATAGATAGTTTTCAGTAGGCCTGAATTAGCAAGAGTTATTTCCCGTTGGCTGCCATATTGGAGGTCAACATGTTCATATTCCTTCATTATCCAACCAACTTTAACTTTTTACTGGTCATTGTGGGGTAGGAAACATTATTTTTCTGAAATATATGCATTTGTTAAAGCCTCCTTCATTTCATAATTTTTTATTTTATAAAGATTTTTCCCCAAATATTTTTGCTACACCCTCTTAAATTTGGTAAGACAAAGAGGAAAAATTACCAGGTTGACCACAAAGATGGCAGCCAAGGGAAATAACTCGGAGAGAAACTACGTCAAAAGAAAACTATCTATTCAAGAGATTTTCATGTTTTTTTGTTTTGTTTTTTTTTTGTTGAATTTGTTGAATATGTTAATATTAATATATTTGTGTAGATGTATTTGAATTCATGTACTATCTCTTATTTTTACGATAATTTCAATTCGGATTTTAAATATTTGTAAATCTAATAAACTATACCTATCCATGATCATTAAAAATAAGTTAAATGGCTGATTGTCAAAGGAGAAATAAATTAACATTTTTATTTTGCATTTCTGCATACACTTAGTAAAAAAAAAAAAAAAAAAAATTTTCTCTAATATTCCTTATTCAAAGTAAATTTTATCTACTACATGTATATAGTTATTTATACAATATTCATACAACAATATTTTTGGCATCTCCTTCATAAAAAAGGACATTTTTAAAATAAACATAATTATTTAAATACAACTTGGAATAACTTTCATATAGAAGATCATTCTATATTATTCAAAAATGTTAAAGAAAATTAAATCAATGGTACATGTATGTGTGTAAAATATGAAAAAATTAAAACAGATTTCAACAACCCTTAGGCTATATAATATTCCTTTCTTTAAACAACTCATCCAAGCTGTTTTCCATGGCCTGGTTCGTCCCTCTGAGTCCATCCACGACTTTTTTGGCCCACTGGAAATACTCCGTTACTCGGCTTTCCTGCCATCCGAGTGGTGTACACCGATTGAGATCGCGTAAGTTGTACAGCTTGTCAGCCAGCTTGACCAGCTTAGCTTTGTAGCTCGCATGGGGAGCATGGTCTATCTGTTTCTGTTTTCGCTCAAGCTTGGGTAGATTTTTATCATCAGTTACTTCTCTAACAAGACCTGAAAGTTAACAAAGGAATACAGACATTCAGCATGTATATTGGATTATAGTCTTCAGATTTCAGATCAAGTCACAGATCTGATAATTTTTTTTTTGGGGGGGGGGGGGGGGTTCGTCACAATCTCCTTGGTTCCGTAACAGGCATGTCAATGTTTCTTACAATGTCATATAACTTGTTTTTGGAGAGGAAATTCCATAGCATTTCATTTACATGAACTGATTTCAGAAGAATTTTGGACCAAATAAATAAAACTGGGTGACATCCTCCCATCCACCCTTCCTTCCAACCATCTCTCCCTTTCACCCCTCTCTCTCTCTCTTTCTCTCTCTCCCCAATTTTACCTGTGACCTCTTCCCCAAAATTTTCCAAAAGTTCTTCAAATGTGGTGTTTGTATCTTCCACTGTGTCATGGAGAAGGGCTGCCTGTTGATAAATACATAAACTTAGCTGGTACTTATGTGCATCTTACACTATCAATTTATTTTTTGTATTGTTGCAAACAGACTGATTCATGATCATGATGAAATACATGTATATATCAAGAGAAGTCCATACAAATACACATCATAAAAAAATTATTTAATAACACATCATCAGGTATAATGCTTTTCAGTGAAACCTTATCCTAACAAAAACTTTGAGATACTCAAAGGTTCTAGAAATTGAGGGTAAAATACAAATACAAAATAAAATGTAAATAAAAACAAATAACAAAAAAAATGTAAAATACAAAGAGAAAATTAAAGTGATTGGGGCTATCCTTGGTATTCGAGATATCATTGTTGGAGATACCGAAGTTCAACTGTATATTGTTTTACATTGAGATTATAACTATCTGACTTTAAAGTAACATGAAAATACGGACAATAAACCAAGCAAGTTAATAAGTATCCATTACATATTATATATATGCATGCTGTATTAAAAGCAAGTTAGAGTCTTTTACAGTATATCATATGTGATTAACTAAAAGCAGATATAAAAATGAAATGTACAGATATACGTGTATAGTTCACATTTGTAACTGAATTTATTTTGGTAGAAAAAAAAAACAACAAAATTTACATCTAACAGTGTTCTGAACACATATATAAATACATCTACATGTATCCCATAGTAACAAAAAAACATATATTGTACTGTACAGTATGTAAACACCAACCTATGTGGCACTGTACTTAAATCATGTAAATACTAATATTTTACGTTATACTAGATAATAAATATTGTATTGCACTTTAGTATACATCAATTACTGTGTTGCACCAGATAATAGATACATGTATTGCACTGTACCTGACAATAGATATTACAGTGAGTCAGACATACTACCTGTCAATAGATACAATGTACTGCACTGTACCTGACAATAGATACTATTTAATACTGTACCTGACAAAAGACATTACACTTTACCTGACAATAGATATTACACAGTTCCTGACAATAGATATTGCACTGTATTAGTCATTTTGTACTGCACTGCGCAAGACAATAGATATTGCACTGCACTTTACAATAAATATTACACTGTACTTGACAATAGATATTGCATGATGCCTGAAATGATTAATATTGCACAGTACCTGAATAACTGCTACATCTGTTATACCGGCTTCTTGAGTTAGAATGTTGGCCACACCTACAAAAAAATTGTCCTATTACCTGTACACATCATTCCAATAAAGTAAGATGGACATATAAACTATATATATGAGATTTTGCCATTCTGTGAAATAATTATCAATCTCTTTCAGTCTCTTTATGTAATTTGATGAAACTTTTATAAATATGTTAAATTAATGCATAATGCTAAAAAGACCAATAAATAGATCGAACTGTTTGATTGTCACATTCCTCCCTCCTTATAGATGTCTTAGCCCGAGAAGAAACAACCCAGGCTCTTCCCTAGCAGGTACAATTCTTTCACATGTTACATATAGGGTACTGATCTATTACCTAGTATAGCATGTATAGCTGGCACCAAATGTAACAAGAAAGAAGAAAAAAGTGTACCTGACCAGGATTCAAGCCTGGCCCCCTGTGCTCTACAGGTAGTACTAATCTACCAAGGGAGCTATCTGGCCACCAGCAACTGAACATGTTTCTCATATTACCAAAAGTTGGATTTCTGTTTGGTATATATGTGCATGATTTTAAGTGTGGCAGTCAGACAGGTTCGATTGCTGGTGGCCAGATATAAGCTCCCTTGGTAGAGCACCTGACTGGAGATTCAAGGGGCCCAGGTTCGAACCCCAGTCTGGTCCCTAACATTTTTCTCCTCTCCCGTTACATTTGTTGCCGTGCCATGCCCTGGAAGTGACTGGTGAAAGACCTGTAAGGGAAGAGCCTAGCTGGGTTGGTGTCTTTGGGGACCGAAGACATTGAAGGAGGGAGGAATGTGCCGGCCAGACAGGTTCGATTGCCAGTGGCCAAATAGCTCAGCTGGTAGAGCACCTGACTGGAGATTCTAGGGGCCTGGGTTCGAATCCCGGTCTGGTCCATCACATTTTTCTCCTCTCCAGTTACATAAGCCACAAAATGTTAAACAAATACATTCATAAGCTTTAGTCTCCTATATGTTAAGTGTTATCCCAGTCTTGTTTCCTGAACAAACTCCCCTCTTTGTTACAAATTATATGTAAACATGATAATTATTTTCTTCATTTCCCTTCCCTCTTTAGCGATTAATATTGTAAAAAAAAAGAAAAAAAAAAAAAAAAGAAAAGAAAAAATAGATAAATTGTAGTTTGTAAGAAAGATATTTTTTTCCTTTTTAAATTATTTTTAGATTTCAAGTTAGTATTTGTTGTATCATACTTATATAAACTGTGTATCTATTGCCCATTCTTGGGGCCCTGTGAACATATACTGAAGGTTACTCAAACTTTTAGAAGTATTTAAAAAAAAAAATCACCTATTGGATGATTAATGTATGGTGTCTTTTCTTTATCTTTTCTTCTTTGATCTTTGTGTTTAATTGCTGCAAAATCTGAACAACGGATAATTTCTGAAACTGCTGACATAATAAATTTTGTTTTTCCTGTTTGTTTAAATATCACCGAGGAAATTCGCGACAATGACGGTTTACGGCATGACGTTAATCTTCATTTAGATAAATGATAGCATAATTATAACATAAAGATAAACTTAATGTAATTATTTGTTGAAATTTAACTCAAAGGTCTGATTTTCAATGCATTTGCCGTCCTTAATTGTCATAAAAGTCAATTCCCGCCAGAAATCACAGTCTCGCGTGAATTTGTGATCGCAAAATTTATGATGGCGGCTCACATTGTGAAGATTTGTCCTAAAATATTTCATCGATAATCGGCGTTAATTACTCTTAACTGCTTAGACGCGTTCTTTTTTTACTCTCTCTTGTGTTAATGCAAGTGAAAACATTACCGTGAGTTTTATGCATTTAAGTTTGTAGAGTACATCGGCTTTTAAGAACACTGATTATCATTTTTTTGACGATAGTGAAGTTTAAGATGGCTAACATCAAAAGTGATTACCAACCAATGGACAAAATATTTGCCAAAATGAAGGGTTACCCTCATTGGCCAGCTAGGGTAAGTGTCAACTTGCTAATTTTATGTGTTAATGCATATATTTCTTCTACAGTTAGCGACCATGCGGTTGATGTGCGTACATTTGTGATGTACATTTAATTAAATTAAATGTAAAGTAAAGATGTGATCAACCAAGGATATTGCTGGTATCAGTGTTCTGTGAAAATAAAAGATACGCTAAAGACAATACCTTCTTAATCAAGAAATAACTGTTCACTTGGAGAATTTATATTTACGTTCTTAAGATCAGGCACCATCTCTTGGATAAGCTATGTAGTCTATAGATTGATAAACTAGTAAAAATATCTTGATTGAAGCTATTGAAATGCAGAATACCTTCATAATTATCATGTATACTCAGTATGATGACAGTGTGACTGTTGGGGCGAGAACAGTTGTGTATTAATTACTGGATACCTGTTCACTCTGACCATGTAAACTTAGATCCACCTTTTCAAACTGCACAAAACAATTTGATGTCAAGGCTGTGATGTCACATAATATTAGTAGTAGTAGTTAGTCCATAACAAAGTCTGAAAATGCAAATTTTTTATCAAAGACCATTTTAATGAAATATGGAGATAACAAACAGTATTCAAGCCCAAAGTCCATTACAACAATACAATCCGGGAGCAGAGCAAACAAGAACCCCCAAAAACATCAGAGGTGGGATCAGGTGCCAAGGAGGAGTGAATATCCCCTGCCGACTGGTCATACCGCCATGTGCTCCTTGTCACAATCGGTAAATAAAGGAAGAATCCGTCAACAATTTAGTGTGTAAATAATGGCCTAACAATTGGTATGAAAAAGTCAGTCAGCATATGACTTAATAAGAGATTGTATAAATTTTGCTAACAAGGTCATTGAATCGGCCAGAGAACCTATTACGAAATGATGACTTTAAACGAGACTGTTGATATTCTTGTTTCATCAAATTGTTTGTTAGTAACTTACCTCGTTTTAGAAATTGTTCATACGTAGAACATGCTCTTGCGTATCAAATCAACTGAATTCAGAGAGATGTACACCCAATATGCAGGTGATAAGGGTATATTGCTGCATAAATAAGGGAAGTTGACGATTGAAAAGTTAAAGACGTCACATTTATCATAAAGCTTTGTTGTTAGATTACCATTAACGTCTTTTTCTAGTAAAACATCCAAATGTGAAACAGATTTGTTCAGAAACAGAAGCTCACTTGGATATATCGTGTAGACACAAGAATGGAAATAACTATTGTTCTACTAATTTGCAATATCTATTATATGAAGGCAAGTTTATTTTTTGGTGAACTTTTGTTGTTTAATGGTAAGAATATAGTTTGCAGATGCAGAGATGCAATTTGCAAAGGATTGTGGGACCAGAGGTTAATTACTAAGAAAATTTAGAAATCTAATGGATCAATGTGTAGTAGTCTGAATTTTCTCTTTGCCCAGATGTTGTTGTTGGAGCTTGCGGTACAAGCAGCCACTTGCTGTAAAATTGAGAAGAATCATCATTTTACAAAATTTTCTAAAAAAGAGCTACTTAAAGTGACCTTATGACCTATTAACTTAATTTTGAAAGAAACATACAGACATGTATTTTCAGGATTTTACAATGAAAAAAAAAATTAAGTTAAACTATTTGGGGTAAGCACATGAAATTAGGGTTGGTCGGTAGGGCTGTCACGAGTACCCGAAATAACCGAGAACCGTGGTCCAAGTTGTTCGGTTCCGGTTCCATTTTTCCGGATTTCGGTTCGGGTCTGGTTTATATATTAGAGTCTGTTCAATACAAAAAATGGCGTCGAAAACAAAGGAATGATGACGATAACAGTGATAAATAAACATCACAACTGAAATCTACTTCATTCCATGACAAAACACTTGTCACGGAAGTATTAGATAATTATCAAAACGAGCAGGAATGGTCAGGTTGTGGCTAATAGTAGGCCAAGTCACCGATGTCTAGACGTTCGCATGGTTAAGACTTGTTTTCAATGTAAATTTAATGTAACAAATAAAGATTTTTCAAGTTAAATTCATGAAATTAAGGTTTAAAATAGATGTAAATACCCGACCCGAAAAACCCGGAACCGAACCGAAAATTTACAGAACCGACCCGACCCGAAAAATTTTGGAACCACGACAGCCCTATTGGTTGGGTAACGGTAAACAAATAATATTTTTTTATTGGCCTAATGAACATCATTCAGTATCTGACATTATAATTTGAAGTACCAGTATTTCATGCCATAATAATTAATTATGATTTTCTTCTGTTGTAGATTGACAAGCTTCCTCCGGGAATTGACAAAGCACCAAAAGGAAAATTTCCTATCTTTTTCTATGGAACTCATGAAACGTAAATCTAAATAAACATGATAAAATATGCTATTGGAAGTGGTGATCTAAGTTTTAATCTGAAGCTACAGATATTAATCATGTTAATTCAATAATAATTGTAGTGTATTTTCCAATTAAATAAATATTATGTGATTTTATCATCTTTAGCATGGGAAAAAAATTATTACAAATTACTATGCAATTCAAAAAATATAACCTGTCAGTCTATCCATGAATTTAAATGTTATACCATGTAATATCTGGCATTTACAAACAGATATTCCTACCACATCTTAGACAGTCAGGGGTGAGACTGAAATCCATCATATCTGAAAAATGGTGGATAATCGTCATATTTACTAACTACGTATTTTCGTCATTTTTGTCAATATGACTTACTATCGTCATATTTTCTTTTCCAACTTAATTCTTCTATCCTGGTTAAATAAAAGCGAGATTTGAATTCACCGCTGAAAGAAGAGTGTTTACGCAAGTTTCATTTCATCCGGGTCACTAATACTGCCAACCACATGCGTTAGAACATCAACATGGAAGGTGAAAGTTATTATTTAGCGGTAAAATGTCAAATTTTGGTAGAACTAATTCGCCATTTTTACATGGCTTTTAGCCCTATAAAAACATATAGTACACCGTCTGGAAGAATACGTACTTGTAGAGAAAAGTATATCGTCATTTTCGTCTTCTTTCCTATTCAATGCAAATAAATTGACAAATAACTCTTCCACTCTTATTTTTGCTTGGGAAATTTGTACTGTCAACATAACCAGTATTGTAGTCAACTGTATTAGAGAAATGAAGTTTGTTTACGATTTTTTTTTGTCCTTTTTTCGGTTGGTGGATCTAACATTTTTCAAAGAGAGGTAACTCGGTATTCTAGAAACACTCTAAATTTTTATGACTGTTTTTCGTCATTTTCTTAAAAATAACAAGTTTAAGTCATAATAAAAATTTTATTTTATGACTAATAAACGTCATTTTAAAAATGACGGATTTCAGTCTCACCTCCGACTGTTAGATACAACTTTTAGTGCTTCATCTAAATACTGGGAGCAATAATTCTCTATGTACAGTATAATGAAGAATTGTGTTTTTGCATTAACATCTAAATTGATTTTATTTTACAGAGCATTTCTGGCACCCAAGGATATTTACCCCTATGAGAAATTCAAAGAGAAATATGCAAAACCACAGAAAAGGCTCGGATTTAATGAAGGATTGTGGGAAATTGAAAACAACCCAACTGTGGTGTTCATGGGAAATGTAAGCATTTGCAACTTCAAAAACTATTGTAACATTAAACTGTTAACAAAACATTCAAAATAACAAAAAAAAGATTTTAAAGTTTTCTTGATGTGAATACTCCCATTTTTTCACCAGTGATGTTGTTATATGTTGTCAATGACATTATATTTCAGGGATTTTCCAACACCCCCCATAGGACCAAATTTAGGTCCCATTCCCGTTTGCAAAAACCCTCCCTTTTTCCCCAAAAAATGAACTAAGTTCAATTTTCAAATGCACAAAAATAAACTTAACCAGGCCAGAATAATTTAATATACCTAGATGCAAACAAGCATGCTTTCCATCTGAAATCAAGGGAATGACTTAGATTTAAGAAATATGGCCTGTTGATGACAGACTGTTAATCTACCTAATCTAAGATTGGTAGTTAAATAAAAGATCAGACATATTCATCATTTGTGTTAATTTCCTTAAAATTGTCATGCAATACAACTTCCTAATAAGCGATCAAATGTCGTTAAATTTCCAATTCCAAGGGGTCAGGCTTTGTTCCCAAAGTGGAGTGGAAAATCCTTGTGTTTGGCGTGGCTGCCAACTGTTGTTCATGACAGACATTATTTGTGAAAGGGAAAAAATGATCTGTGACTTTTTAAAAAATACAGCACATGTACAAAACTACATGTATTTCCTACTGAGCCTGTTTATTTTATTACAAATATTAAAAAAAAAAACAGGGACAGTAAAACACAGGCTTTTAATAAATTCACACCTACATCGAAATGATTTTCATCCCCATGGTTTTAAAATGTCTTATAACAGATATAACATTTTATAAAACAGAATTGTTTTTCCCTGGCACTTAGCTGTATAGTGTATTTTACTTTAATTAGCATGTTGCATTTTTTGTAGCAGCAACCTGAGGCAGAATCCCCAGAGGCAGAAGAAGAAGAGGAGATGGTCATTGATGAAGATGAAAAACCACTGAAGGGGAAAAAGGTGAGGAGACACCCACCCACCCCCCAAAAAGAAAAAAAAAATACAGAAATCTTTTTAAAAAAAAAGTTAAAGAGACTTATCAAAGGAAAGATATTCTGTGGGATAACAAATTAAAAAAAGTTTCAGAAAGAAGTCGAAGTAAGGGAGCATGCTGGGAAAGGAAGGGGGGGTGGGGGTTGAGAAGATTTAGGTCATTGACATTAAAAACCAGAGCAAAGAGAAAATTACGCTAAAAAGAAAACTAGAATCATATTTATGGGTGGTGATACATGTCTTTCAGAAATAAGGAAGGTAAATCTTTTGGAAGAAATGGCATACTAGAAGTAAAAAAAAAAAAAGTGTCAAAGGGAAGTGAAATATAATGGTATGGGAAAACATGTTTCGATGTATCTAGCCTAGGAGGAAACAGTAGTGATGAGAAGGATACTTGTTTGAGATACAGGAAAGGTGAAGGTCAAAAATAAAATGAGTTACTGAATTGTTGTCTTTGTGTCTTGTAGAAGCAAGCTAAACCAAAACCAGCCCAGAAAAGGAAGAAGGCCACCACAGGGGTAAGTTTTACTGTACTGAATAATGAGTATTTTACTGAGAGTTAAGCTTAAAATTTGACAAACATATACATGTACATGTAGTTTTACTGATTCTAGGGCTTAAAGTTTTACCAAGTGTGAATAAATTGAATAATAAGTTAGGGGCACCTTATCAGAATGGGCTCTTACTGGGGAGTATAATGGCATTAATGTTCACATATTATGTGTTCAAAATATTTGCCATGATTGATGATTTTTTTAAAGGGTAAGCCAGCTAAAAGAGCCAAGAAAGAAAAAGTGGTGGAGGAGAATGAGGAGGAGGAGGAGTTTTTAGATGAGGAGGAAGAAGAGGAGTCAGGTCCCTCCTCAGATAACCCTGAGGATGAGGTACGTTACAGTAAAACACAGTTATAGTGAACAGGTCCTTCCTGTGATAATCCTGAGGATGAGGTACAGGCACAGTAAAACACAGTTATAGTGAACAGGTCCCCCCTCTTATAACCCTGAGGATTAGGTACTTTACAGTTAAACACAGTTATAGTGAATAGGTTCCCCCTCTGATAACCCTGAGGATGAGGTACATTACAGTAAAACACAATTATAGTGAACAGGTCCCCCCTCTGATAACCTTGAGGATGAGGTACTTTACAGTAAAACACAGTTATAGTGAACAGGTCCCCCCTCTGATAACGCTGAGGACGAGGTACCTTACAGTAAAACACAGTTATAGTGAACAGGTCCCCCCTCAGATAACCCTGAGGATGAGGTACGTTACAGTAAAACACAGTTATAGTGAACAGGTCCCCCCTCTGACAACCCTGAGGATGAGGTACGTTACAGTAAAACACAGTTATAGTGAACAGGTCCCCCCTCTGACAACCCTGAGGATGAGGTACATTACAGTAAAACACAATTATAGTGAACAGGTCCCTTCTCTTATAACCCTGAGGATGAGGTACTTTACAGTTAAACACAGTTATAGTGAACAGGTCCCCCCTCTGATAACCCTGAGGACGAGGTACTTTACAGTAAAACACAATTATAGTGAACAGGTCCTCCTCAGATAACCATGAGGATGAGGTACGTTACAGTAAAACACAGTTATAGTGAACAGGTCCCTTCTCAGATAATCCTGAGGATGAGGAATGTTACAATAAAACACAGTTATAGTGAACAGGTCCCTTCTCAGATAATCCTGAGGATGAGGTACTTGTACAGTAAAACATAGTTATAGTAAATATGCTTATAATGAATTAACACTTATAATGAAGTGATTTCCATTCATAGTGGTTTGAAAATGTTTTGTGAACTGAACGGATATAAAGAATTACGTTTATAACAAATCAAACTTGTCAGTCTGTGGCACTTAGTTTAATTGTGTTTTACTGTATATGAAGGACAACTGTTATTTTTTAAATACCAGGGGTACACTGTAAAATGCAGATAAAACTAGATTTGAAGAAGTGTAGCACCATATGAAAGTTTTGATGTAATTTTTTTCAAATAGGATTTTGAACTGGAAGAGAGCTCTAAATCAAAAAAGAAAACACCTCCAAAGAAAAGAGGGAGAAAGAGTGCCAGCAAGAAAGCAGCAGAATCAGAGGAGAGTGGAGAAGAAAAAGATGAGAAATCCGAGGAAAGTGAAGAGGAAACGGAGGAAAAGGAGAAGAAACCAAAGAAAGCACCTGCCAGGCAACGGAAGTCCACCACCACACCCAGAAAGGGTAGGGGTTGATTTTATGTCTGTTTGTTTGTTGTTTAATGTCCCTCTCAAGAATTTTTCACTCATATGGAGAAGCCACCACTTGCCGGTGGAGGGCTCTATATTTTTACCTATACTCGGCAATCAGGGCCATTGAGCAGTGAGGTATCTTTTTCGTGCCAGCTCCTACTGCGACAAGGGACCTCGGTTTATACGGTCTCATCCGAAGGACCGGTCTCCATGTCCCACAGTGCATTTGAACCCACGACATAAGAATAAAGTCCTTACGCAGCAACTCAAGAGCAAACACTCTAACCACTGTGCCACGCGGGAGCCACTAATTAAGAAAAATCTAGTTGGACAAAATTTGTCACATTATATTTTGGCACTTTTAAGAACAATTGTGATTCATAAAGACACATACATCTTATTTCTATATTTGTTTCCTTTTTTTATTTGTGCATTATATATATGTCAATATTACATGATTGTTCAATTTTTGGATGAAATTCTAAATTGCAGGAAGACCTTCAACTGGAGGAAAAAAGAAAGCTGCCAACAAAGTTGTATCCAGTGACAGTGAAATAAGCAGTGACAGGTATGTCAGTGGTCACTTTGTCTGTGTGTTTGTCTTCTGAGTAACTTTGATCATTTTAAATTAACTGAAGAACATTTCGAAACACAATGCTTTTAGCATTGCACTGATAACTGGCTGTAGAATCTTTAAAATAATAGCACCGTGTGTACACATGTAAAATCTAAAAAAATTTATTGATATTTCAACAAAATTTTGACAATTGTACACAAAATACATGATTTTTTGTATTACCAATAAGGAAATACATGTATGTACATTTTTACTTGTTAAATAAGGAAGAATTTGTTTCTATAGTGATTCTGATGAGGAGGTCAGCAGTTGGAAGAAAAAAGATGAAGAAAGGAAGAAAGCAATGGAGAAAAAACTGAAAGAAGCTGAGGAAAAGTAAGTTTCTGTATCACAAGTTCTGTCAGATGACCAAAGATGATGAAATCGGTGTAAGTTTTAGAGGCGATATAATTTGACTGCTGATTAAAATTGAATGCCATAAGTGAAAAAACAAAAAACAATAAGCTATAAAGGTGAGAGTGAATATTATTTTATGGGGTTTTTATGCCTTGAAGAATACCTTATTTCCTTAAATCCCCAAATAAATTAAGTATTGAATATGAATACATCAGTTTTATTTTCAGAGAAATTATAATTTGACTGCTGATTAAAATTGAATGCTATTAGTAAAAAAAAATTTAATAAATAAAAAAAGGTGAGAATGAATTTTATTTTACTTCATCTGTTTTGATGCCTTTAAGAAACACCTCATTTCCCTACTCCCCCAATTAATAAGTAGTTGATGAATGAATGATTACAAAATAAAGGATATCGTTGCACAGGAGGAAGAAAGAGGAGGCGGAGAGAATCAAAGCCATCAGAGCAGAACAGAGACTGGCAGCGGAGAAGGAGGGGGAGGAGGAGGAGGATGCAGAAGAAGAGGAGGAGGAGGTGAAACCCAAGAAGAAGTCCAGGAAAAAGAAGGAAGAAGACAAGGTAAGCAAAGCCATGTATCAGGGCTTAACAAGCAAGGCCATGTATCAGGGCTCAACAAGCAATGGTTTTTAAGTAGACATTTCTCACACAACACCTGCAGGTATTAGTGCTCAATAAGCAATGGTTTTTAAGTAGACATTTCTCACACAACACTTGCATGTATCAGTGCTCAACAAGCTGTGGTTTTTAAGTAGACATTTCTCATGCAACACCTGTATCAGGGCTGAACAAGCAGTGGTTTTTAAGTAGACATCTCCCACAACACCTGCATGTATCAGTGCTCAACAAGCAGTGGTTTTTAAGTAGACATTTCTCAGGCAATACCTGCATGTATCAGTGCTCAACAAACAATGGTTTTTAAGTAGACCTTTCTCTCAACACCTGCATGTATCGAGGTTAATTGATCCTTTTTTGTTGTGTCCAGTCTTTTGAAGTGAGAAAGTGGCAAAATGGAGAAATACCAATGAAATATGTTTTACTGTAAGATAAAGACAGTTTTAGATTATAGACTTATCCTCTTTCAGCATTTTTGTGAAAATTCATGGATAAGGATTACAATTTCTTACACTTTGTTTTAGACAACAGATGAGGAACATCAGTCTAGTACTCCGAAGCCCTCCAAACATGTCAAAAAGAAATCAGAGAAGCCAGAGGCAAAGAAACAAAAAGAGGATAAAAAGAAAGAGAAGGATAAGCCAAAGGAAGGGGAGGAGGGGGAAATGGAGGAGGAAAAGAGTGAATCCACAGAGGAAGCGAAGACAGAGGAGAGCAGCAAGGAGGAGAAATCCCCCAAGAAACCAGTGATAGAGTCAGATACAGAGGAAACGGAGCAGGTGGAAAAGGTGGAGGAAAAGGAGGAGGGAAAGGAGGAAGAATCCAAGGTGGAGGAGGAAAAGGTGGAAAAGGATGTTGTGAATGAGGTAAATATTAGTTGTTTTGTGAATGAGGTAAATGTTAATAAATTATTTTTTTTCTCTTTTTACATGTACTTTTTGACATTTAAGGATCTCTATTTGTTTTTATTTACATGTATATTGATTTATTACCTGAAAAACTTGTATTTTTTTAAACAGCCGAAAGAGGAAAGCCCAAAAGAGAAAGAGAAATCAGTGAGTATATCTTGTCTATTGTCATTCATGCAAGGAAAAATGTTAATAACAAAATTGTAGGAGAGTTGATTTTTTTAAAAGAAAAACAAAGTAATATTTTTTGTCCCTCTGTAGATCAAACCTATGCAGTTTGGTTTGATTTGGGGGAATATAAGTCTACACTGTATGTAATAAGTGTGTTACCGTTATTTACAGATTTACTTTAAGTTTGTCTTTGAACGTGCTTAATGTTGATGTTCCTAGCTGAATTTCTTGATGTTTCTAGTAGGAGTTTCTCTTTTGTCTTGTCAAATAGAAGGAAGACGTTGAGAATGAGAAGAAAGCTAAAATTGCCAGAGAGGAAGCCAGACGAGCAAGAGAGGAGGAACGCCGACGTAAACAAGAGAGAGAAAGGGAGAGGGAGCGGAAAATGTAAGTCAACTCAATAGGTTGACTTGTATACCTCAGTCAAAATAGTGATTTAAATTTGGGGGGGAGGGGGGGGGAGAGGAATGTGTTTATGTAGTACTAATGCTAGAATTCTTTAAATAATTGGTATTATTAGAAAAATGATTTCGATCTGTTGCTTATTAACTGTCATATGAAGACATACATTTTTCATCTGCATATGCATACGTACAGTGGCTGCAATGTTATTGTTGACAACTTACAGGAACGATCACGTAACACGAACGATTCCGCATGATTAACGCACAATAAAATCTGTTACACGAACGATCCTTCACGCACACGATTCTACACGTTACACGATTTTACACAGTTGCTAACGCAAACACACGATTCTTCACACAGAATGGTTCAATTTCTTTAGGAATTGATATTTTCAAAAGAAAATAAGGCTTAATACTTATATGTATTTTAGATTTCAAATAATTATTGATATTATTTCATCGACTTTGAAAAATGAAAAAAAAATAGAAATTGATATTTCTGGAACTAATTACATGTAAGATTTATTATTTTAGAATACAAATAATTATTTACACAATTCTCCGACTTAAGAAAATTTTTTTTTTTTCATTCTATCAGAAGATGTACATGCACATGTAGGTGGACCGTGAGTTTTGATTGAATTGGATTTCATAATATACAGAAAGGGATAAGTTTGAAAAAAAAATTGCATGGAAATGAATTATTTTATGAGTTATAACCATATTTCCTTTTGTGAATCTCTAAAACCAACAACTGTTTTACAAATGATTTATTTTTTATTTTCTTAACGCACGATCACGCACGATTAAAGTAAGCTCTGGAGATAAACACTAATGAAGGAAACCATGACAATCATGTCGTGTACATGTACATTCGCAGACTAAATATTTATGTAAGCATAGAGATTTGTTTATTTATTTATTTATTTGTAAAAATATCTATTTTTGATCTATTGATTTTAAAAAAAATCTTGTCCATGATTAGCGGTAAACATAATTAACATCAGAGAAAAAATCCTTAAACATCTAAGTATGGTTTATCACAAAAAAAACCACGCTATTTGACGAGAACACAATATTGTACGACTTACTATATTGCTTATTTCCAAGCGATAATTAGTTCGTTCTGCTTTCAATTATGTAGATCACGCTTCATTTATTTTATTTGGATTGAAAAAAAAAAGAAAACAGACAAGTGAAATGCCTGTATAACAAATAACATTCCGATAAAAACTTACAAAACGAAATTTACACAATCTCGCACGTTACACGAACGATTCTACATGATTGATTTGTCAACAATAACGTTGCAGCCACTGTATGAAGAAAAAAAGATCATTAGTAAATTGATTACTATGGATCATTAATAATTTAACAAGGGGAGATGAGCTGGCTTTAGACTGATATAAAGTACAGTTTTGTTTTGATAATAAAATTATAAAGTACAGAACAAACAGATGTTTTGAAATTTATAGACTACACAGGTACCTCAAAGAAAAAAAAAATAAGTGTGAAAAGTATTATATTTTTGTTTTTGCAGCAAAGAAAGGGAAGAGGAAAAGGAGAGAAAAAAGAAAGAAAAATATGAACAGAAGAAAAAAGAAAAAATCAGCTGTAAGTGATAAGTTTCATAATGAAGATAAAAGCTGAATTAAAGGAAGTAATTGTGTGTGTCTGTGTCTTTCATTTAAGGCTAAAAAGTCCAAACACTCTACACACCAAAATTTCCATTTCTTGAAAAAAGAAAAGTGGTACAGTGTTTTTAAAACTCCTCAATCAACAATTACAAGAAAATATTAGAGGGGGCATTTTCTTGAGTAGATTTTAGTGACTCAAAAAAAAAAAAAAAAAAGAAGAAAAAAATGAAACAAAAGAAAAACAACATAAAAGTAATTTCTGATAGATCAACATGCAGCTGCTGATCGATTTAAGTTTCTTTAATAGAATCATAACTTTAGAGTTTTTCAAAGTTTAATGTTCACATTAATGATTATAGGAAAAATGACTGTCAAGATTAATTAGTTTTGTACATTTTTCCAGTCTGGTGAATCATTTTACAATTTAAATGTACTTTCCATTTTTCTCTTAATCTGTGCACTGATGAACATGACAAGTTTATTGTCTGTGAAAACCAGATTGTGTTATTGTATTTCAGTTATTCACACCAGATTGTGTTATTTGTATTTCAGTTAGTCACACCAGATTTGTTATTTGTATTTCAGTTATTCACACCTGTCCAGATTGTGTTATTTGTATTTCAGTTATTCACACCAGATTTGTTATTTGTATTTCAGTTATTCACAACCAGATTTGTTATTTGTATTTCAGTTATTCACAACAGATTTGTTATTTGTATTTCAGTTATTCACACGGAGGGAATATTAAGTGCTATGGACAATGAGATTAAATTGTGTGTTCAGAAAGAATCAACAGTAAGTGTCACATCTCCAGACCTAACTTGATGTATAACATACGGAACATTTTTTTTTGTTTGCTGTATTTTTATGTACTTATTAGAGGCTGTCTAATTCAGAAAATTTAATTCACACATATTTTTTATCATTATAAAAGATTATATAAATAATAGCCAAAATTCATGATAATTATGTCTCTCTAATAAATAAAAAATGACTCTTTTATAAAAATTTGGTGATCTACATTCATTGCTCATAGTGGACACCTGCTGGTAATCATCACTACAATTACTGAAATATATTGAAGGAGCTGCTTCTTGCCTCGGAGAGTAGTTAAACAAAACAACATGTTAGTTGGAAGTAGACAGAAAAATACTGTTTCAGTCTGAACAGTTAAAATGCTTAGATTGTTAAAAAGTTGTAAATATTGTTCTAGTTAGCATTTTGACATGCTGGTTTATAAAGGCCCTGAGAAGTCAAGACCCCAAGAATGCATAAAAGCTGTTAATATTTTCAATGCTGTTATTGAAGGATGTGGACAAGTGTCTGGCCATTATGGAGGATTTGGATGCTCTGCCAGTTAATCAGGTCATGCTGAAGAAAAACCCTGACATCATGAAAACCATCAAAATGGTAAGTTACCATGAATAACATCAAATAGTAAGTTACCATGAAAACCATCAAAATGGTACATGTAAGTTACCATCTTCATCTTGATGAAAACCATCAAGAAGTTATAATGAAAACAACAAAATTATAAAGTTGAAACAATAATGTAAACCGTACAGGTGTGAAGTTATCTTGAAAACCATTCAGAGTGGTGAAAACCAAACCAAATGGTTCATCAGAATGAAAAGGAATATTAAAAAATTGGAATCATAACTATTCTCAAAGTAAAAAGAAATAATAATTTAACTTGCCCCTATTTAATACAAATTGAGTGATTTATGTCCCATTTAAATTTAGAATATACATCTACAGGTACATGTATGTTGGGTTCCTATATTTGATCTTTTACAGATGCATTAATTTGGGTCTTATTTTGAATTTTATTTTTATTTTACAGCTTAGGAAATATAAAGGCAGTGAAAAGATCCGGTTGAAGGCAGAGGTTATCTACCATAAGTTCAAGGCCTTCTTCTTGCAGGGAGATGGAGAACATAATACAGTATGTAATGTATTACGCATCTGTGTATATATTTAAAGGTGCTTAGACACAGATTTGGAGTTAATATTTTCTCAAATTTCCTGTATAATATCACGACTTATATATTGCAATAGCATTTCACATGAAAATATAATTAAAAACTTATTTTATCTGGAAATTGTTGGAACTATGAATTCCTGGACGCGTTTGATTAACACATCCGTGCACTTTCACAAATTTTATCTTTATTCTTAATATTTAAGAAAAGAAGCGATTTTGTTGTGTATTAATGAAAAACATTACATCTATAATCCAGAAAATTCAGAGTAGAATTGTGCGAAAGCAAACCCTCTCACTAATATCGTCAGCCCGTGCTCAGTGTTGTGTACAGAGTTTAACAAATTGAATACACCCGTGAAACGTAAACTGTTTTTGTAAACAGGGCACGAGCTCTGTTATTGTTAATGTTTACGATTCACCAGGTGTGTTCAATTGTTAAAGTCTGCACACACCACTGAGCACAGACTGACAATACTGTGAGTGGGTTTTGCTTTCGAACATTTCTACTCTGAATTTTCTGGATTATAGTTTTGATGTTTTTCATTAATACACAACAAAGTTGCCACTTTTCTTAAGTGTTAAGAATAAAATTAAAATTTGTTGAAAGTGCAAGGATGTGTCAATCAAACGCGTCCAGAAATTTGAAGTTTCAATAACTTCGAGATGAAATAAGATTTTTATTATATTTTAGTATGAAATGCTATAGCAACATATAAGTCATGAAATTTTACAGAAAATTTGAGAAAATATTAACTTCAAATCTGTGTCCAAGCACCTTTAAGGTTGGTTGACCTTCTGATAAAAGGGGATAAATGACTTTTATTTTAATAAAAAAAATTTTCAAGTTCAAAAGCATGTTTTGGCCATAAATTATGCAGAAATTGTGTGCATTTTAATTAGAAATTAGATTTCTTTGAAAATCGTAGGTGTGAAAGAAAAAATTTTATGTGGGTGAAAGGAGGAATTATAACCTTAACCCTTGGCATCTAGAATTGAATAGTAACGTGTTTCTGACATACAGTACATGTTTCTTTTACTACTACAGCTAAACATTCCCCAGAACTTTCTTTAATTCTTCTATTGAACCAAAAATTGAGACATTGCAAAAGTTTTCTTGATTATGCAATTTTTGGGTGGCATTTAGTATAAATGTTGGGGAAAACAACTTTAATTTTTTTTAAAAAAATTTCCATTGTTATGCAGTTTTGAATCTTGAAATCTCTGCTTTCAGATAATGGAACATCATCATAAAAAACACAAAAATACTGAAACCAAAGAACGGGAAAACAAGGAAAATGAGATATCTCGAGCAGCAGGTTAGTAAGAATACGAGACTCATGGGAAATTTTTTTTTTGAATTTTGGTATAGCAGTATGATTTACATTACTTGTTGTGCACAGTCAATCCTGGGCATATAGAGTATGGGTTTACTTTTGGAAATCTTTGACTTTTTGATTATGGAATTATATTTGGGGAAAAAAAAAACTTAAAGATGTCTAACAGTTTGAGATATCAACATTGAGAACTGCTATGTTTGTTGTGAATTGAATTTCATTTCATGTTTTATTGATAACATTTATCAAAGAAATAGACAAATTTCACATTCGTAAGAGTTATCTCCCGTTGCCGGCATAATGCTCATTTTTCTCATTATATCCTTTGTAACTTACCTGTAAATATTTTTAACCTTTAAATGCTATCGGACAGTTTTGATCCGTTCTTGTATTGCCATAGTATGGGGCAACATAAAAAACCTAACAAACATATCCATACAGATTTCATTTGTAAGACATTGCCCCATAAAGTTGGTAATGGTATAGAGGGAAAACAGTATCTTGTGCCGGTTGACCCCAGATTGACCCCGCAAAGGGAAATAACTTTGTAAATGTGAAAGTCGTCTATTAAATTCGAAATGAAATTTTTATTTGGTTATACATGTATATTCAGTAGGGTTATTTTTGAAATGACATAATTCAATAGCACCAAAATCGTTTTAGAGCACAAATTTATTAAATTTTATCATAACAAAAATTCCTGCTCCTCCAGTATTTTCCTACACATAAGATATGGACTGTTCAATATCACTGTGACAAATCTAATGGATTTGACATTTTCAGGTTCTGGTGCCACTGTACTAACTCTTATTGAAGGTTTAGATTTTAGGTCCTTTTCGTCTATATTTGAATGTATTCATTTGATATTCAGAGAAAGTTCAGATTAATTTTCAACATAGTGTTCACAAAAAGGAATAACTAATTTAGAAGTTTCTGTCATTCCCTTGATACTGAGGGCCTTAATAAAATTGAGGATCTAAAGTTCACAAATGTATTGAAAATTTGTTATACATGTACTCAAGTATTTAGTATTGCTCATGTCATCTCTCTTTTGACATTCTGCCTTCTGACACAATCAATACATGCCTCGATAAACAAGTACCTGTACAGTGTATGTAGATAAATCTGATGATGTGTGTGTAGTGTGCATGCAAGTACATGTGTACTTATATAATTTTGACATTTTTCAGAGGTGACATCCAATATGAATGACACAACAGATGGAGTAGAAACTCGGCTTGGAATGGATAGTGACGTTATTCCAGGATTAGACCGTGTGTCTGAGAGTGGTTTGGATGCTTCAGCGAGTGACTCAGAGCTCACTAAGCGTATTGAACAATTAACAGGGGAGGTGGTGGCCAAACTCGAATCCTGGCCCTCAGACAGTAGTGATAAAGAAGACGGTTTTAAAAGTTTAAAAAGCTGGCCAGAATTACCTCTGTTGCCAGGATTATCATTGGATTCTAAGACTGCCAATCATTCAGAAAAACCTAGTGGTGAAACCAGTGAAATTGCAGCTACGGACAGTGTTGTTAAAGTTAATGACGTAAAATCAAGTGAAAGTAAGGAAGAAAAACTAACAGAAAGTGACAAAAAACAAGATAAAACATCATCACCAAAGGAAAGTGAAATAACAGATAAATCAAAGAAAACGGAACCTGTTGCAGAGAAGTCTGTTTTCTCTCCCCCAACAAATACGTATAGAAGGACGTCTAATATTTTAAGTTTACCATTACCAATGATCGATGATGACTCACAAGATGCTGGGTCAGAAGATGATGCAATGGACATTTCTCCTGTTGTTTCCCCCAAGAAAACATCTAGTACTAAAGAGACCAAAGCTAATGTCAACCAATCGCCAGAGAAAGAAGAGGAGGATCCATTAGATGAACAGGTAAGATTGGATAAAAATTAATTTAAAATTTTTTTGCCAATAAAAATTAATTAAATTAATTAAAAATTTTTTTGCTTTCTTGGTTTCAATGACCTGTGATGCCACATTGTGTCCATCACAATCACTTGGACGCTTTAAGTAGAAGTGCTTTTTACTGGTAACTATGAAGCACTTTACTGATTATGAAATTTTTCAAAACAAAAATACAAAACATTTGAACAATATCCTGAGTTTGTCCAGGAAGTATGAACCCCTGCCTAATTAACCAGAAACTGTGATTGTTTTAGCCTGATGATGTGCATTTTCACTGATCCTTAAATACCTCCATTTTTTTTTCATCAGGAGCGAATAGACCTTGATGCTAGGATCCAGGCCATAATGGCCAGCAACACACTCAACAACCTTGAAACAGAGGACAGTAACGGACCAGTGTCGCCCACAGACGAAAAACCAGAGAAAGAAGAAGAGGAAATCATGAAGCCGGTGCTTAAAAAAGACCTTTCAGTGAAAAAAGTAGACGTACCCGCCAAAAAACTGGAAAAAGAGGCGGAGTCTGATACGGAACCAATCATGGACGATGACGAACTTCATAGCTTATTAGGAATTTAATGCATGACCAGAACACAAATTTCACAATTTTCATGGTTATCTTCTGTACTGATACACTACTTGCGAGAGTTTCATTTGCCCACAGTGAATCGTGCCCATGTCAAAGCCCATCTAAGCTGTTAGTTGATAAAGCCCATCTACACCATTGGTCAAAAGATCTTATCATTTGTGGGTTCAGAAGGATGGGAAACATCAAAAGTTTATCTGGTCATATGGTATTTTTCGGTGACAGATTTCTGTGCTTTGTTTATCCCACTGTCACAGATATCTTGGGCCAGGTTTTAAAATGTAGGAATTTTATCAAATGTGTGCTCTCTGCAGCCAGATGGTCATCGTGTTTTGTAGAAAGTGTCAAGACTGAAATGTTTTCCTGAAAGAATTAGACCTTAAAGTGGTACAGCTCTAGTACTGTATGCAGTATTATTTTTGCCCTTTCACACTTGCAAACAATCACTAATTCAAGCAAGACGTAGAAACCTTTTTACACAACTGTGGCAAATTGAAAGTGGAGCAAAATTTGTTTGCAAGTAAGTCAAAAACAAATACAAGACAAAAATAACCGTGTATACTGTATTTGAAATGTATATAGAGCATGGTTAGAGATGCAAATTTCATTTCTAAATTTGATAGTAGTTTAATGATAAGATATACCTATTATGAAGAATTTTTTCTTTGAAGTGGTTTAAAGTTCTGTTTATAGCAGTGAAAAGCAAAAAAGAAAATACAGTAAAACTTGGTTATAAAGAACTCAGTTATAAGGAAATCTTGGTTTTAAGGATTTCTTTAGGAATCCCCTTGACAACTTTTCACCATGTTTCTTATAGCGAGTGCAGCAAGCGGCGCGAAGGCCACTCATCACTGCGAGCTCTTAAAGCCATGCCTAGGCGAAGAGAAATTCGGACTTTGCACATTGATCCAAACAATTTTTTTCAGCAGTTACCTTGAGACCCACAATGCAACCCTTGTTGTTCTTGCTGCTAACTTCGTTCTCGCGGTAACAACAATTAAAAATTCACAAAAAATTAAACTCACCTTAATATAATGGATATTGCATACAGATAGTAGATTAAACGTTTTCACTTTTCGAACTTCTTATATGGAAATGTAGCTAACATTTGACGCGTCATGTGACGTCACAGTTTAGACGTTCCAAATGTATCGTGCAGTTTGAAGAGGCGAATCTTAAAATTAAGTGAACAACTGCACTCGCCACAATGGTCGTGCCGTCAACATATTTTGGATTAAAAGAATCCTGATTATAAGAAGCCAATGACTTCCTCATAACCAAGTTTTACTGTAATCATTTGTAGAGTGTAGCAAAGATGAAGAATATTTTTCTTTGTAAATTGTGATTGTCTCTGAAATCTAAAATTATTCTTACTATGCATAAAGAGTTTAAAGCTTGTATTAGTACTAAGTATTGCTTATTAAAAGTAATATAAGCATTTTTCATGAAAGAATTGACTGATAGTACCAATGAAGGAACATTATTCTTTTTAGAAAGAAAAAAACAACTATGATCATATTCTCAATGCATTGTCATTTATCAATCATAATTCATATCACTTTTTTTGTATTTTAAAAATACATACTATCACTGTTTATATGTATGCATTGACTGAAATCTTTTAAAGATACGAATAAAAAAAATAAAAAGCTAAAATAAAAAGGATTTCTTTTGCCTTCTTGAGGAAAATTACAGCATACAGCTTTTCGGATATATTACAAACAAAGCATCATTGTTGAGTTTGATGAAATGATCCTTTTCAATAATTTCACTTGCATTATTATGCCAATTTAAAATGTTCATTGTGATCCCAATCTTAGGGATGACCTTTAGATTCAGAGGGTGGGGGAATTATTTTCACTCCCCCAACCCCCGAATCAAATGACCTTACCTGAAACACCTTTATTTGTATGCTTGTACTTAAGCGTAGTGTAAAGATGCCTCCAGTCAATGAAAGTGAGTCTACCCTACCTGTACTGGTTTATGAAATTTCATAGGAATCCATAAAAAGCCAGGTCCAGCGATTGCTCTACCATGTCCTTACCTTTACTCAGAAATTTGAACTGTTGCAAAGGAGAAACTTCAGATGTATTGTGCCACAGCATATTCAAGAAGTAGTGTAAATCAAATGTGAATTCTCTAAAACTCCAAAGAACTTCTAGAAAATTTAAAATCACAATTTTTGTTCAAAAGTCAGTAACATCAAAACATGGCTTTTCTATTCCTTACACAAGCATTCCTCACGATAAATTGAAAACTAGACTTTTTCTGATATCATAGACAACAGCTTGCGATCAATTTTAAAAACGAGGAAAGCTACTGAATAAGTTGATGTTACAAGGATTTCAAAAATCCCGTTTAAAGTCACGACAGCCTTTTTTCAACTTCTACGGTCGTTACAATGGCCATGTTTGTCCATACAACCTATCGTTGGGTTGTATTTTGACCGACATATTTCATACCAGTTTTTAGACCATTGCTTTTATACTTAATTAGACTATGGAGTACTCCGTATACCTGGCTCCGGCACCATAAAACTTAGAAGAGCTCACTTTTGATCTCAGTCTCAATTTTACGAAAGGAATTTATGGTGGAAAAGCGAGACTGAGATCAATAGTGAGTTAATTTAAGTTTTATAGCCCCGGAGCCTGACAATTACACACGGTTCAGGGTGGGCGTGGCTGGTCGACAAGGGATGCTTACTCCTCCTAGGCACCTGATCCCATTTCTGATGTTTCCAGGGGTCCGTGTTTTTGCCCTATTCACGATTCGATTTGTTCACTGGATTTAAGAGATTGATCACTGTTGCCTTCACTATTTACATTGAATAGCTCTTATCAATTTGTATCTTTGTATGAAGTTAGATAAAATAACCTTTAACAGTTTCTTTGAAACTGTAATACAAAATAAGGAATAGTGGGGTCAAGTTCATTGGGAAGAACAAGACCAGAAAATTATGACACAGTTGAATATCTAACTGCTATAAGAAGTTTCATGAAAATATCTTGAATAGTTTCTTTGAAATTGAGATAAATGCAAAATGACAAATAGGTAGTCAAGGTCATGGTCAGAAAATTGAATAATCCCCACCAATATGTATTAATATATGAAGTTTCTCTGAAATAATTTTGGGTAGTTTCTTCTGAAATATGCTAAACGCAAAATATGTTTGTTGAGACATGATCATAGGGAAGGTCAAGGTCAGAAAATTATAATACAGTTGAGTAACTTCTACCATCAGCATATTAATTTTTTTTATAAAAATATCTAAAATCGATATACTTTGAATATGAGTTTAACACAAAATAGGGAAAAGTGAGGTCAAGGTAAAAAAAAAAGGTCAAGGTAGGAAAAATATGCAACAGTTGAATAGCTTTCGTCATGATATATATCAGAGTATGAATTTTGGTTAAAATACCTTGAACAGTTACTTTGAAACTGAGCTTAGCGTAAAATGTGACGGATGGACAGAACGGCGGGAAGACAGACACAAGGAACACTATATGCCCCCGCCATATTCATGACCGGCCATAAAAATTACGGTTTGGTGATCTTGGGCCTTACATTGAGCAAGATGTGATCTGAATTTCCAGGGTGTCCCACTTTTGGGTTGCGAATCATTTTCTCCAAAGACGCATCTACTGATCAAGTTCGATGACCCGAAGCTTCGCAGTGTGTAAAATAACATCCAGAGACAGGATTATTGTATAGAATTCCTAAACGCCGCCATGCCGACCTATATAGGCCTAACAGTTTTAAGGTTTGGATGTGACCCAGAAACAGACAGACAGTCGGGAAACCTAGATCATGCCTCGTTAAAAGGCAGGTGATAAACAGATAAAAGACTTAGAAAAAAAAATCCAAAATGATCAAATTGAATTAGTTTCTTTTATTGCAAAACAAAATGAAAGTAATAAAATATATACATTTTTTTTTTAAATACAAAATATGAAGAACAGAATTATCTATCGGTGCATAATATTATTTGGAATTTCAACATGATTTGCATAGAATTAAAATGTTACATTGTTGTTTTAAACATGATTCCTCAATACTTCTACAAGAATGATATTTTACAAAAGTTTAAAAGCAACGTTTCACAAAACGATCAATTTGAGAAATTTCAAGCGTATATTAACATTCTTGAGTGCAAGATATTACACACACGTATCAAAGAGATACATCGAGTGAAAGTCCGCAACCATTTAACCCCCTCAATTTCCTCTTAAACCAATTGCAAGCATCTCTGATCGAGTAAAAAAACAGTATTCATGATTATAGACCACAAATTTACCCCAAAACTGATAGAAACATTACATTATACCTATGATACTTTATTTCATCCGGACCAAGTAAAACGATGCAAGTATTAAAAGTATTAAGCTTGGTATTTTTGCCAAAATTTTGCTGTTATTGATTTAAATCTAAAATTTCATTTAAAGACTGTATTTCTTTCTATTTGTGCATGTGTATCATACTAGTAAAAATTGTGTGTGTGTGTGTGGGGGGGGGGGGGGGTAGGGGGGTTGCAGTATCAATCATTTCTTCCCTTTATCCTCTCCTTCTCCATACATTTTATTTTTTCTCTCCTTTTCAAGTTGCCTCAGTGAAATTTTATTCCTGTTCAAAAACCTAGCCACCCAAGCTACATGTCCACTAAAATCATCAATCTTCAAGATCTCTGCAAACTCAATTGCCTTTTGGCGTATGATCTCTAAAGACAATGCACTTCCCCACTCGATCTGTTCAAAAAACCAACTCTTCAACAAAGCGTCAAGATCAGGCCAAGCACATCGACTTGGTGTAAGTTTTCTTAAGTTCTTTTTACTATTTTCAAGATTGCTTCTCTGTTTTCTCCAGTAACGTATAAGTTTTTCACCTACACCGTACTTCCGCTGGGCGGCCATATTGTTTGTCTGTATGGCGTAGGCCACGACCTCCAGTTTGAATTTGGAGGTGAAGCTTCTTCTTTGAGTGGTCTTGAATTTCGATATGGCATTATCTATCTCCTCATCTGTCATCTGAGCCTTAAAAAGAAATAAACTGACACATTATATATTGATAATAATCTTACAGGTCAATAAGAACCGAGAGGGGCATGCACCCCAATAATTTTGCCGATATATAGTACACTACAGGAAAAAAAGAGAGAACTTTTTCATGGATGTGCCCCCTCAAGAATTAAGTCTTATGACTTTTTTTTCGCTTCTCAAGGAATTTTCATTTTGTAGTGCCCCAACTGAAAATAAATCCTCCTTATTGTGACAGACTGACAGACGAACGGAAGGATAGTTGGAAAGACGAATCAAATTAAATGTACCCTCGCTTTTGCAAAAACGGGAGAGAGGCGGGGGTGGAACAATTATTGGTAAATCCTGGTGGCATGAGGACGTTAAAAAAATGCAAGCTCTAAATCCAATAAAACGATACAAATTGAGATCAGGACAAAGACACCCGAAAACATCAGAGGTGGAATCAGATACCATGGAGAAGTAAGCATCCCGCTTTGAGACTTAGCTAGCCTTGTTTTGATCAGGAAAACGGACAAATCCGTAAACAATTCAGAATCAAAACCACAGCTTTACAATCTGTATGAAGGGCATCAGTCGACCAAATGTAGATTGCATTTACAAATTCAATTCAAGTATAAGGTTTCATAAGACACGTTTCAGATCCTCAAAAAATCCACTTTTAATGAGAAAAAATTATTTGGTCTTGCCAGAGGAATTTTTCCTTATTATTGTACGCATGCGCAGAAAAAAAATGAACGTTACCATGTTCTCAAGTCCCAAGAAGTGGAATGTTGATATACCGTGGATTTTGATAAAATCTTCGAAAAAGATAATCAGAACATATCACTTACCTTTGCATAATTTACTTCAATGATATTTATGAGTTTTAGGCTATAAATAAGTGGTGCGACCTTGGCTTGCACATTAACAAGGATGCAGTAGATACAACCTTCGTTTATTTGCAATTATACCTTGTACCCTTTGCTTGCTTTAAAGTGCAGTTGCATGAGTTTGTCAAAACTTCCCTTTAGTTATATTTGTTGATAAAAAGTTTGATTTATATGATACAAACAGTTGATTTTGCACCCAAGGAGATAAACGACACCACAGTATACTCATCCTCACAATGTCAAGGTTTTGTGATTTCGGAACTCCAAACAAACCCTTGACATAATTAAGTCACTATTTAACAGTTGGGCTAGAAAGCTACTATTTCATTTGTTCCTGGTCTAGGACTGGAACCAATCACAAAACAGCTTTTATTATCTGTAAGTTTTGGAAACAAATATGACGTCTTTAAAATGGAAAGTGTCAATATTGTAGGATTTGTGACTAGTAACTTTAAGAACCCTCTCTACACCCGTGCAGAATGTTTTTGGGACATTGGGAAAAATATACGTGTATTACATAAAGGTGTTAATATTGAGCTTATCTATTTAATTTTCACTATATGGTACGTGGCATTTACCCCCAGGAAAAATGTTCAAACACAACACAGTATCAGTGAATAGAAATCACTGCTGTTTACTTCCATAGAGACAATACATGTAAATAACATGTTCAATTTATTTATCTTGGATTTTTTAAAATGTTAAGAATACTTGAATTAATTACAAATTGATTAAAATACTGTAAATTTCTTTTCTTTTTTTTTTTTTAGAATTTAAATCTAAGGGCAGATCACTCTAACTTCAGAAAAATACCATAGAATCAGAACTCTTTAGTTTGCAGTGTAAAGAGGGTTCTTAAATGAGTAACACCGGGGTATTGAAGATTGTCCTCCTTACAATCACAAAAGATGTGCTCTGGAGTTGAGCAATTTGATAACGGCGGATTTGAAGAATTAATTCTCATTGGTTAGCTTATAATTACTCATTACGTCATGTGTAACCGCAAGCCCAACTTTTAAATAACGACTTATGTCAAGGGTTTGTGTGGAGTTCCGAAATCACAAAACCTTGACATTGTGAGGATGCTGTATACCCAGTATATTTAAGGTACTCTGCCTCAAGAGATTGATCGAAAGCAGAAATGAAATAGCTTTTTCATATGTCTCTCATACAAATTGTATGACCATTATTTTCATAGTGAATCAACCATGGACTTCTCCTGTCATCAAATCATGACAAAGGGCACATGGTGGATGTGACCAATCAGCGGGGATGCTTACTCCTCCATGGCACCTGATCCCATGTTTTCAGAGGTCCATGTTTGCTATGCTTACAACTTGAATGGTTTAATTGGACTGTGGAAACTGATTACTGTTCATTATAATCACATTTCATGAGACAAGATGGCATGTGCATCTACTTTGGGGTAAAAAAAACAACAAAGGGATCAATATGAATATTTCTATTGTGAAAAAAAGTTATATTAAAATATGCATATTTTTAAATATACAAAACAAATTCATTTAACAGTATATAATGTTATTTGGTATTTCAGCATGATTTGCGTAAAACAAAATAAGTAAGTTCCATTGACTTTTTAAAACATGATTCGTTTAAAATAATTGTTAAAATTGATTTTACTAGTCATCAATATTAAACTTAATCAAAACATAAATTAAAAAAAAAAAAACAACCTTGCATTTATACATGTATTATGGAGAATGCACACAGTTTACATATATCATGAGAAAAACCCTCCCTCCAACATTGTTGAATTTATTTTACATCAAATATTACACAAAAGTGATCAGTAAATGGTGTTGACTGATATACCAGAAATGACATTACATAATTATATATTATTTCACAATATTCATGTATTTTCATCTAGTAAACACGTCAATTAAATCATAAACAGAATGTGTGGTAGCCCCTCATTACCTTTTTAAAATGAAAAACTGACTTTTTTATAGACATTTACAAGTAATTTGCCCCAAAACATTGTCAATCAAGATAAAATCCAAAGTTTCATCTTTGTGAAAATTCATATCCAAAACATGTGTAAAAAACGTCTCCATCATTCAGTTTCCTCGTCATCTTCTCCAGCTATCTTCTTTCTTCTTCTCATTTTAATGTACCTTAATGAAATTTTGTTCCTGGACAGAAACCTAACCACCCAGGCCCTAGATCCACGAAATCCCTCAATTTTCAACATCTCGGCAAACTCCAAGGCCTTTTGACATAGTAATTTTATAGAGAGAACATTTCCCCACTCCCGCTGTTCCAAAATCCAACTTTTCAACAAGGCTTCCAGATCTGGCCATGTGCTTCGACAAGGTGTGAGCCTCTTTTTGTTTGTTTTACAGTTTTCCAGACTATTCTTCTGCTTCCTCCAATAACGAACTGATGCTTCACCAATATTGAATTTTCGTTGTGCAGCCCTGTTGCCCTGCTGTAAGGCATACTTAATGACCTCCAGCTTGAATTTCGGGGTAAAGCTTCTCCGTTGAGATGATGGGTTAAATCTCGATATGGCAATTTCTATCTCGTCATCTGTCATTTGTGGCTAAAAAGAAGAAAAAGTGACAAATAAAAAGTTTTGACTACACTTCACTACTGTCAAAATTATGAAACAATAGATTAATATTACAAGTTTTTCAGGCTACAGACAACAAAGCAGCATCTGGGAATGGAAATCTGGAAAAATCTAAGTTCTGAGAATAAAAAAAACTCAAAAGACAAGTGTGAAATTGAGGAAATATTTCATAATTGGCATAGTTTGGTAAGAAAAACTCAAATTCACTGAGAAATCTCAGATTTAAGAAAAACTCAGCATTCGTGGCCCCAAAGTCTGGACCCAGGTGACACATGACTTTAAAATTTGGAAGAGGATTACAAGTTCACAATCAAACTTCATTAAACTCTTCATCTAAGTGCTCAGGAGTCCAGAAAATTTTTGAAAATATATGAAGCATTTTCAAACAGGGCCTATTTAGCCTAACCCTGGGGATACATTTTACATGTACATAAGGGCACATAGCCAAATTTCATCTTGCATACAATTTGCTTTTATAGTGTCCAGAATTTAAAACAATAGGTATACCAAAATACATGTAACATTGACAATATGTGACCAGTTTGTCTTTTGTACAAAATACTTCTGACATCAACTCAAATGAAATTAGCAGGTACTATTGTTTAACAAAAAGACAAAAAGATCCTTCAAAAGTTGGTTTTCTTATAATGCAACAAAATGGCTGCAATAATATGATAAGGGCAATATCAAAGGTCAGTCTAATTGTCTTACTGATGTCATCCATCTTGGATCAAAACGACACTATAATAGGTCTGAAGTTGAGGTCTTGAAGTTTAAAGATTACCATCTAATGTTAAGCGACAAGCAAAGTTTAAATTAAATAATTTATGGCACCAGATGCAGCAAATAATGCCTGGGGCACCAAAATAATACTTTGTACCAAGTTTGGTTTAGATTGGCCTAGGGATTCTGGAGAAGATGAAATTGTAAAGTTTCTATTGACAACAATGACGGTGACAGCCAATGAACAAATTTTGATCAGAAAAGCTCACTTTAGCCTTTGGCTCAGGTGAGCTAAAAAAGATTGGATTAAGGCAAAATAAAATCATTGTTTGTTTGGAATTGCCTCCTGTCTCAATGAAATGACCCCCTCTAAAAAATTTTATTGACCAAAAATAAGATTTCAAAAAAAAAAAAAAAATTATTCAAATCTTGGCACCAACAAAACACTTAATACTAAGCATGCATTAGATCTAAGCAAAAACAGGGTTCTTGATTAATGGGAAATACTTTTTACAAAAAGTCAGAAAATATTGTGTTCATTGTTTATGAGATTTTAATCAACAATTTTAACTTCAAATTAGAAAAAAAAAAATCCCTCTCTTCTGAGTTTGAAACCCCTTAGGCGGCAATTCCAAAAAATATTTTTTTTAAGGAAGGCTTTATATTGAACACAAGACCTAATGCTCACCTGAGTAATCCGAAGGTTTCTTCTGAATTGTTCCTCGTCAATGACCTTTCGCTTAAATGTCCGTGAAGGTACAAGAACGCATCTAGAGAGTTTTATTCTTTAGACCAATCAAAAGATCTAGAACTACTGGGTATATCTCCAAGGAACACATAATCAAACAAGAGGCCCATGGGCCACATCGCTCACCTGAGCACATTGGCTAGGAAAAAAAGCAAAAATCAGTACAGTACTGAAAAGTTTACAGGGAGGGGGATGTTGAATTTTAAACTACCTGATGATGCTTTCATATCAATATAACAAATGGCTTTGTTGTTCTTGAGCAGCAGATTTTTTTCCCATATATTCATTTGTAAAAATTGGATCCCCCATTGTGGCCCCACCCTACCCCCGGGGACCCTCATTTGAACAAATTTCATTCTACACTACCCAAAGATGCCTCCATTTCAATTTGACTAATCATGGCTTTTCTGTTCTTGAGAAAAAGACTTTTTCCTATATATTCCTCTGTAAACTTTGATCACCCATTGTGGCCCCAACCTATCCCCGGGGTAAAGATTTGAACAAACTTGAATTTTCACTATCTGAGGATGCTTCCATATAAATATGACCAATCATGGCTTTACTGTTCTTAAGAAGAAGATTTTTAACGATATTTTCCTATATATTTCTATGTAAAACTTTGATCCCCAATTGTGGCCCCACCCAACCCCGGGGGTTATTATTTGAACAAATTTGAATCTTCACTACCTGAGGATGCTTCCATATAAATATGACCAATCATGGCTTTACTGTTTTTAAGAAGAAGATTTTTAGAGATATTTTCCTATATATTTCTATGTAAAACTTTGATCCCCAATTGTGGCCCCACCCTACCCCCGGGGGTCATGATTTGAACAAACTTGAATCTTCACTATGTGAGGATGCTTTCATATAAATATGACCAATCATGGCTTTGATGTTCTTAAGAAGAAGATTTTTAAAGATATTTTCCTATATATTTCTATGTAAAACTTTGATCCCCCATTGTGGCCCCACCCTACCACCAGGGGTCATGATTTGAACAAATTTGAATCTACACTACCTGAGGATGCTTCCGTATAAATATGACCAATCTTGGCTTTGCTGTTCTTAAGAAGAAGATTTTTAAAGATATTTTCCTATATATTTCTATGTAAAACTTGGATCCCCCATTGTGGCCCCACCCTACCCCTGGGGGTCATGATTTGAACAAATTTGAATCTACACTACCTGAGGATGTTTCCACATAAGTTTCATCTTTCCTGGCCCAGTGGTTCTTGAGAAGAAGATTTTTAAATGATGCCATTATTTTTTCACTAATTCCTAATTATCTCCCCTTGAAAGAGGGCGTGGCCCTTCATTTGAAGAAACTTGAATCCCCTTTACCCAAGGATGCTTTGTTGCAAGTTTGGTTGAATTTGGCCCAGTGGTTCTTGAGAAGAAGATGAAAATGTGAAAAGTTTACAACAACAACGACAATGACGACAGACAACGGACAAATTTTGATCAGAAAAGCTCACTTGAGCCTTTGGCTCAGGTGAGCTAAAAAAAAATAGATTTAGATGACAAAAGGTTTGGTGCAATGCATCTGACTTATCCTCATCAATAAATGCTGTAAGCTGATACTGTCTCAGAAATTACCAGTTATGTTCTTATAAACCTTGAGATAAAACAAAAAATTACGGAAAAAATACAGTGCAGTGCAGCCCAAGTCAATCTCTTATTATGTACGGTCCAATACTCAAGTCTTAATGTCAAAGGGTTGTCAAGTAATGACCCTGGCAATATCTTAAAGAAAATAACAAATATTAGTCGTATTCTTTTTGAAGTGGAAACAATAACTGTTCTAGTTTTGGGGTTCAAGATACAGGCCTGTAGGAAACAATTTCAATTAGGGGAGGGCACAACCATACATTTTCAGTGGGGGGGGGGGGGGGGGGGCACTATCAATCTAATTAAAATTAGATTTTCCGAATCTGCTACCGCTTCTCAAACATCTAACAACATCCCATTAGGGGTCATTTCAGACCGACCTTTCGATTACTCAATGAAATCGCCATCTCTGAAATCTTGGCTTATAGTTCGGATGCGTTTCTTTTTTTACTGCCACATCTAAACACCTGAGGGGTTTTGTAGTAAACGAAATATGCATGGTAAAGACCGTGCTATATATAAATGTGACGTGCGGGATATATAGATGTATACATGTAGTTTGTGCATTTTCGTTTGCATTATTCAGGTAAGAATGCCAGATTGGCAGACTATACGTTCAATTTACACCAAAATTACTTTAATTCAACGTAAAACAATCTACTGAGCATCAATAATGTAAAGATGTAGCCGTGGAACTAATTTTAGAATCATATACAGAAGGTTGAATCTGATTGGCCAAAATTTTTATGTTTATTCATTATCGAAAGGTCGGTCTGACGTGACCCCTAATTGCAGCCCGGAGGACCGGGCTGCTCTATACATATAAGTTTAAGTGTTGGTATATGGGGATTGAGGTGGGAGAAGTTATTCAGAATTAAATGTTTTCTAAACATTAAAAAGATTGTTAATCAGAATGTTCTTTCCCTTTATAAATTACGAGATACACAATATATTTACTTCCATTAAGTGAATCTGTAAAAATATATATGTTTTTCATATTTAATATATAAAGTTGCTTATCATTTACTATCGAAAAAACGACAGGTCCCTTTTTTTAGGACATTGAATTTCACTTATCGCATAAAAACGTACTTTACACAGCTCGTGTTTTATATTCTTAAGGTGAAAGAAATTTTTGAAAATAGGTGATGCATGTGTCTGGTTTCAAATTATATTTTATGCAGCCAACATTTACTTGAGGAATTGATAAAGTTTAAAAGGGTATCGTTTTTGTTCGATTTTCATCCGACTATAAGTTTTCAAAATATTCTCGACTATCGTCTCCATCATTTAGATGCATGCCTTTTTCACACATATCGAAGCGGTTTGATGATCAAGACTCATTTCCATTGTTTACTTTATTTATTTCCCGGGCGACAATTGATGGTTACATCAATGTTTTCTTGTGGGATGTTGTTAGATGTTTGAGAAGCGGTAGCAGATTCGGAACATCTACGGTAATTTTAATTAGATTGGGGCACTATCAACTATAAAACATTCCTTGGCAAGCACAAAAAAGAAAAAAAAAGGTAAAAAAAAGGCATCAGATGTTATTATTGAGGGGGGCACAAGCATATGGTGGCTATGTCTTCTACTGTAATCTATATATCGGCAAAATTATTTGGGGGGGGGGGGGGGCACCACCCCCACCCTTTCCTAGGCCATGAGATAATATACATTTGTACATCATGACATATGACATATTTCATGCCCAATTACTCAACACACATGTGAAATCACAACTGACCCTTAACTGTCATACTGTGATGTTGCTTTAACAGATACCTAGAAGCTAGATGTGATAACGTTAATTACTTTTCTGTAATGTCGCTTACCTGTGACCCAGATGTGTGAGCATCATTTGATGAAGATCCTTTTACGGAAAACAGGGTGTCCTTCTCTTCTCTCCATTTCCAAACCATTTCCTCGCAAACGTGAAATCTAATGGCAGTTTTGGTGTTGCCATGTCTTTCAGCAAACAAGATTATTTTTCGTTTGAAATCATCAGTATAACGCTCTTCTTTTGAAGGGGCAGAATCTTCATCTTCATAATCTTCATCTTCATCAAAAGCATCCTCGTCTTCCTCCGATTCCATGAAGTCATCAGAATCTGATGACAAATCTGTGTCCTAGGCAAAAAGATCAAGAACTCTGGAGCACACAGAATGTCATAAAATTTTTGTTATCTAAGGTTTATGAGAAGAAGAAACTAAAAATGAAAAATATAATTTTTTTTTTCTTGTCAGTAATAAACAATTAAATCATACCTCTTTGGGATTTCTGTGGCCATGGGATGACTGTATAAATAAAATAAATTATTAAACCATCTTTTTAATGTGTTAACAAAAGATCACTTAAATTCTGTATATAATTATTATTTCATATAAACTATATTAGAGTTAATGACTACCCTAGGCAGATTAAACATGCAACTGTGGAACGATATACCACCTCAAATCTTAATTTACACACTGATCTTGGTATCTCAAACACCGATATCTCGAATGCTACGGATATGTTACAGTGATTTAGAAGCCCCAACCACTTTTTCTTTAAGTACATTGTATTGTACCCTGGATATTTCGAATCCTAGCTAGGATATCTTAATGATTTTTCTCAGCCCATTTGATTTCAAGAGAACAAGGTTTGACTGTATATATATTAGGGATGTCAACGAATATTTGAGTACTCGACTATCGTTCGATCATACCGACTATCGACTAAAATTTCTTTAGTCGGTTATTCGTTAAAATGTGTTACCTAAAAGAAATTTTAAATTCAAGGTAATAAACTTGGATTCACCCATTTCATTTATATACAGTTCAGTGTTTTCGTAAGTAAAACTCGGTATGGTTTAACTGTTCAAAGAAAATTATTTGTATGTCGATTTATGTTCGGCAAATATGCCTCCAAAATCTACAGTTTTTGGTATAGTTTAAAAGATATCAGGATGGAAAAAACAGTTAAAAGTACGTTATCAAGGTTATGTGAAACTTGTATTCTGCAGTGGAACATCAAATATGATGTATCATATGCCGAATCCGTCAATCATACATGTAGTAAACACAGTCTTCAAGTGAGACTTTTTTAAAGTAAGTTCGACGAAAAAATTCCAAAAAAAAAAAGCAGACCCAGAAAGAAAAATGTTGCTATCACAAACTTGATTATCAAGGATTGTCAACCACTTGTTGTTGTAAATGGAGAGGACTTTCAAGAATTGTTTGGTTTTGTAGATTCAAATTATAAAGTTTCAACCTGCAATTCCATAAGATCTGACATAATGCAACTATTCATAAAGAATAATTAAACAGCTGTTACAAAATTGTAAATACATGTAAATTGCATTTACTTGAAATTAAAATTCATGCAGTCATTTTAAGATTGTATTGATTATTTGCACAAATTATCATAATTAAAATTTAACGCAAGCTCTCTCTGTTTTTATAAGAGACACACTTTAATTGTTTACCAGTCATAGGTCACTGAAACGACACGTAGAAATGGCTTCAATTAACAGGTACATGTACTATCGTTATGAAAATAAAGGACAAGTGCGAGCATTTGATATCCTGCATTTAGATAAAATGTGCAATAAATATTATATTAATTTAGAAATCAAATAAATTGGATAAATATAGATGTACTGTATTTATTGTACTACGTAGATGTTTAAGATTCAGAAATTTGTTGTATAATGGTGATAGCGTAGATCAAATATTGTATAACTAGTCTATCGTTCGACTAAAGCCTCCGACTATTCGACGAAGCTGTCCGAATAAAATTGACATCCCTTATATATATATTCCAAAATTAAGTAAAAATCTTTGAAAATAAAACCTAGAGTCTATTAAACTTTGGCTATTTTTAGAAACAATCTGTACTTACTGTCTGCAAAGAATTTTTGCCCCCACTCTATAAGTATTCCCCCCCTCCCCCAATTTTGCCCTCGTCTCAAGTGGAACAAATTTAAAGGGGGCAAATTCAGAGGAAAAGTGTTATTTGGTTAACACACGTATGTATGGGTGAATTTAATAGGGATCAAAATTGTTTACAAGTGTGAAACGTCAAAAATTAAATGGGGCAAAAAAAAAAACCTGCATACAAGGTAAACAGTATTTTTGTTGCAAGGGGATAATCAATCTTTCTCCCTCTCCAGAGCTGCCAGCATCATAAAGAGAAAAATCGTAAAATAGAGTTTCAGAGGTCACTAAGGCCCTTAATCGCTAGAGAAATCTCATGTATATATGATTAGTGAATGGATTTCTCCACTTCGTTTACTTTAAAAAGATTCAGATTGCAAATGTGTATGGCAGTGGACAATGACAATACAAGCAAACAATGTTAGGACTATGATTTTTTTTTATTACATTTGTACAACTGTAAAGTGATCAGCTATGAAAGTTTTGGAACTTAAGACTTTAAAACAAGAGAACTGGAAATCAGAAGAATGCATACAGAAATAGTAAGGTGTATTTAAGACGCTCAATCCGTAAGCCTTACACCAAAATTTTAAGGGTTGGCAGCTCCGTCTCTCTATCTCTCTCTCTCACACACACATAGGACATGCTTATGAGGGACTTACCTTTTTCTTCCTCTCTGTTTCCTCCCAGTTAGGATCATTATCGCTGTCATCATTCAAGTCAGGTTCGCTCTCCTCCTCGGCAAGTTTCTGTACAATTTTATTCGTGGTCCTTTTACGAGTGCTATACCTTGGAGTCAAAGGCTCCTCCGGCACATTTGACAAAGGAGTAGATTTACTCTTCAATTTTGATTTGGACTTTGATGTGGTACTTAAACCATTAGTGGTTGAGGTTTGTTTCTTGGGGGCCTTTGACGACGTAGAAGATACGATCCCTACTGTTCCATCAATACAAGAAGTATTGGTGGATGATGATGCTATTTCAGACACTGCTGGTGGCATGAAAGCTATTGCTGAATTGTTTGCCTGATCTTTAGATGTAGTTTTTGAAGCAGTTGTGGATGTTGATGATGAGGAACATGGTTCGTGTGCAATGGAAGACATACCAGCATCCAAAGATGTTGAATCTGACAACATGTGGGTCTGTGAAGGAGTCCTAAGTCCAATACCACATGTTTCTGTCTCATTTGCTCTACAATTTTGAACACTTGATACAACTGTTGATGGTTTTGGAGAGGGCATACTGGTATTAACCCCTGATGGAGCCACCGAACTTTCTACAGATTTAGGTTCCTCTGATTGGTTTTTAGTTGGAGTAGAAGGATTTTGAGTTGGACCCTGACATAGTTCCAATATGTTCCGAACCATTTCCTGAGCTGAACCGCTAAGCTGTGGAGAAAGTGAGCTACTGCCTTGACCAGAAGTCTGGGGTCCAAGTATATTAAGTGAATGCAAGAATGCTGTCGCCAACAACTTCTGCGTCTCCAACTGTTTGTCCAGTGTAGTAGTCCTAACATCACTCTCATGTGAATTTTTCTCTGGAATATTTGATGCACTTGTATCTTTTTCTGATGCTTCTAAAAGAGGACGTGTTTCAACCTTCTCATTCATTTTGGAGTCAGGAACATTCACAGCAGATGATCCTGAGGTATCTTTTTCAGGTTGGGTAGCAAGAAGCTCAACATTGGGTTCCACATTCTGAGACAGATATTGATTGTCAGTGTTATTGTTTTCACCATGCAGTTCACTCGACACATCGTCCTGGTCTTCTTCTTCCTCTGATTGTAGACCTGAAGCTCCAGTTATAGAATTCCCTGTCTCGTCATTGAGATTTTCCAGTGTTGAGTTATTTTTCTCATGAGATTTTGTTTTTGTCTGTAAATGAAAGTAATATTTATTTTGCTGTGTATTAATGTAGATTGTTCCTCGGTCATGAAAGTTAATCGTCACGGAACGATTGCAAAATGATGAATCAAGATTAAAAGATGACAAAAATAATACTTGGTTTACAGTAACCTAACTTGATTAACATGGCCTTGATGTTCTACAGAAGCAAACATGGTTAAAACTGTTAACTTTAAATTCCATATGAAAAGATCAAGTCTTGCTTATTCCATTTAGAAGGATTAAGGTTTGCCTATTTTATATGAAAAGATCAAAGTTTGCTTAATATTCCATATGAAAGGATTAAAGGGTTTTTATCACTAAATTGTAAATATGGGAATTTTAAATTCTCCTTCATTATTATTTTAATTAATTATATATAAATAAATCCTGCATATCTTTTATCTGTTCCAGCAGTGAATATCATGTATTAGAAATGACACTTCTTTAATGGCGCCGTACGCCATTACGAAATTCACAACGTTCCTACTAGATTCTGTGCGACTTTTAAAAAATGCGTGTTTGTTGTTTATTATTTTTTTAAAAGGTATCTTTCCTTAAAATATTTAATAGGACAGAAAAAATATCCTGATCGATCGGGCATAAACGATTGTTCTGAATGAAGATAAATGCCATCGCATTCAGAACATCTCTCGACCAAGTCCAGGAAATGTGGAAAAAAAATTTCTTCCTAAAACATTTTTTGTGCACATTTGTGCATCCTAAATCCATAAATTATACCTTACTAGCTGTCAATTATCCAATTATCTCTTAATTATTTTCTAACAGGTTTAATAGACACAACAAATGACTCAGAGCCTTTTTGTATACACAATAAGTACTTCACTTGATCTGGATTGACACCTATGACGTCAGAGCAATGGCACGTAACAATGGCGATCAAAATATGCATATTGAGAAATTCAAACTTTGAATCGCTGAAACATCAAAAATATTAATTTTCTAGCAAAGATTTTTAAATATATGATTTTAATAGCATGTAAACTTTGTCAAATCAAAAAGTTTTGAGACATGATAAAAACCCTTTAAGATTTGCTCATTCCCATGGCATATGAAAAGAATTAAAGCTTGCTTATTCTATATGAACTGTATCTACCTTCTTGTAAGGCTGAACCACTAAGTTATGTCTGTGTTTCCACCTGTAAAGCCATCCCGAGCTTGCAGGAAATGAAGGCATTCCAAATTCATCTGCCAACTTCTTTGCTTGATCCTTTAACATTCCATTTGTTATCTGTAAAGAAACATAGATAATTAGATTTTGTGAAGTTCATCTCAACGAATTCTATCTATAAGTAAGGTAAAACCTCATGATAAATGAATATTCAGGTAGTGTACATCCCTATATGCAATATTCATGAAACTTTGCTTGGATAGGACTTGCGGTTACTTGGAAATGGACCTGCTCTAAAAACCTCACGTTAGTGGTAGCATTCGAAGCAAGTATGGCAATGTGTACCCCTAGATCTAAGCATCATCCATGCTGACAGGGGAATACATGGCAGGCCCGTAGGAAGCAATTTCACTTTGAGGGGGCACAACCATACATTTTCAGTTGGACAAGCAAATAAAAAAGGTCATCAGACGTTATTTATTATCGAGGGGGCACAAGCATATAGTAGCTATATTACTATAGTATACTAAATATCGGCAAAATTCCCCGTTTTCTACGGCCTTGCATGGCATAAGATCATCTGATTCTGGACTTTGTCTTTATTCTTAATTTTTTATCATAATAACTGACTTACTATTAAATTAATCTGACACGAAAGACTTACCTGTACTTTGTACATGGGCCACTATGATTGGAAATGCAAAAGTTCTGCAGACTTTTAAACCAAAATGTTGATTATTTAATACTAAACCATTATGAGCAATCATAAAAGGAAGTTCAAACTTTTAATATTTTGTGTGCAATAGCAATATTTTGACTGTATTTGTAAGTTTGGCTGTATTTGCAAGTTTGTGTATAAACAATACTTTCAAATGTGAATCCCTGTAGGGCCATTCCAAGGAATTTTATTTTTGTTTGTTTGAAATCTGCCTTAAGTTTTAGTGATTTGGACCATGAAAAACACACACACCAAATCAGTAGTCCAAAAATTGATTTTCTGATCATGAAACCTTCTGAATTCTGTCAATTCTTTTCTACATTAATGTAGACTCTATCAAATAAGGCATATACTAAGCATTTATTTCCTTGCAAAGGAATATGTATAACTATGAAATATATATGAAGTCAAACCCCCCTTGAAAGAAGTTATTACTATAAAGTGTGTATTTTGTTCTTTGGCCTTGTTTTCTTATTTGTGAATTGAAGGTATATTCCTGAATGATACACTGTAGGTAAAAGATAGAGAAAAAAACTTGAAATGGTATAATATGCATACAGCATCCCTTGTTTACAATATTTGAATGGGCTTTTTTTGAAGCTTTCTGGAATAATCCTATCAATCAGGGCTCTCAATTGTCTATATTTGGGGCCATTCAAGGGCTCAAATCCCAATTCAAATACAAAATTTACCTTTTCCCCCCATTCAGTATGTTAATTTTCCCAATAGTCATTTTCTCACAAAATTATTAAAAGAACATACAATTAGATACTGAGTATATAAAAACTGAACATTTAATTGATAACAAACACAAGAACCCCAATGTATAATGATTTTCATATATTACGATTTTCCCAAAATTCCCTTAAGGATCCCTAAATTTTCCCAATTTTTACCGTCCCGGTCCTCGTCCTACAAAGTAGTGCGAGAGCCCTGCAAATGCATGTCAATAAACAGTACAAAGGAAAAATCTTTAACCTTTGACCTCTGACCTGTTTTCCGGGTTCCTGATCCAGTAGACTTTGATACCAAGCCCACAGTACAGTTTCGACGTCCGGGGCTTTTCCATTCCTTTTCCTTCTCCGATTCAGATTCTCTGAAGTCAGAAACTGTGCTCTGACTTCATCCTTACTGTTAGCGATTCTGGAGATAAGGGACTGCGAGCATCCTAATTGTTTGGCAATTTTTGTCTGCGAGAGTTTCTGATCTAGAAGTTCTATGACACGCATTTCATCTTTCAGGCTTAGGTCATTACGTTTATGAGTCTGTTAAAAGACAATAATATACATTTTAAATAAAAAATTTTAAAAATTTTAAAAAAGCCTGTATTTCCTTAGCTAGATAAATACAGCAGAGAAAACTAGGCAAATACTGTGGAATAATTTTATTTCATGGAGGACAATGTTCTTGTGCAATCAAAAGTATACAGATTCAAGGGGAAATAATTTCCTCAGTAACGTGTACATACAGAAGGTATGATATACTGATATGCTGACAATTTTATGACTTGTGAGGATGTAAACTTGTCGGTAAGAGTGGCCCATGAAATTCATGAAAATTGTTATTTGGTGCCCCGTGTACAAACGACGATTCCACATCACAAGAAAATGTGTTTATATCTCTTACCTTATCAATAACCTTTATTTTTAGATATCTACAGTCTTAACACATGTATCTTTGTAAAACTATTCTAACTATCAAGATTATTCTTCATATACTTTGAAATCATAAATTTTCGAAGAGTTTTACTTTTTCTTGATATTGTGGTATGAAGAGACCCAAAAATTCACGTCCTCCATGAAATTTTAAAATTACAATTACACTATGTGTATGACTACCAATCACACAATATTAAATCCCCACAAATCTGTATTTTTACCCATAAAGCACAAAAATTTGATCCCATGAAAACAAGTGATTTTACACTAAATATAAGAAGGCTTCCTAAAGTGGAGCCTTACTCCTTTGTCAATCCATACACTAATAATGATAATGCTTCATCTTGCAGATGAAATTTGGGGAAGCATTTTATATTTACAGTAGATATACCAAGGATATTTTAATAATACAGATGTTTCATAATTTGGTGATTTGCATGGGAACACAAGTATTCAGATAATGAGGTTTGACTGTAGATATTTAAACATTATATTCTTTAAAACCACCTTTACACCATAGACAGCTATCACCTTTATACATGGAATGCCATCTTACCCTGGGGTACTCAGGAATTTCCACTGAATTGTTTGTTGTGGTGGTTTCCTTGCCTTTATCAGGCAAATCCTTTGTCACAATCCCATCACTTCTGACTTTCTCACTTGCTTTCTCTGCAACCTAAAAACATACAAATGAACACACTGATTTCTGAAACTGTTCATTTCTGCTTTTACATGGGCCCACGAAAAGATAGCCCAGAATTTTCTGCCAGTTTCATGTTACATGGTGAAAATAAACAAAATGATAAATAAAATTTAATATTTTAGTTTTTGGTATAATTCAAATTAGAAGTTTCTTTCCACCAAGATGTTTAATAAATGCACAGACAATTCCCCTCAAATCTGGATTTAGCCCCCCCCCCCCCCCCCTCCCTACTACCCCAATCTGAAATAGCTTTCTTCACACATGTACTAGGTAATTTTTGATGAAATTTTAAAAGATTCCTACATAGTAACACAGCTGTGCTTGGAAATTTATTGAAGACTAAGGGTTAAAAACACAGTGTAAAACTCTAATACATTAATATCATATTTTTTTTTAAAAAAATACTCAGGGCTCGACATTAACGCTTGTCCGGTACCAGTGAAAAAAAATTACGGACAAGTGAATATTGCTGGGCACTTGTCCGATTGGACAAATACATTCTAATGTAAAGGAGTCTCTAAAAACCAACTGTTGAAAGTTAATCGGTAGTTTCAAGACGGAAGCTGTACATAAAAACCGGACTTCGATCCCAATAGGGATCGCTATTAATTGAGTTCACATTCGATCAGGATCGAAGTTCACTAATTGCATACTACTGAAAAGGCATGGAACTTACGATCTTAACAAAGTTTGGATTCTGTTTGATGTTGACAGGTTCACTTGTGGACTTTTATGTTGTTGTCAGGACAGAAAGCCTAGATAAAATTTTGTTTTATGTGTTTGTTGTATTTATCAATAACATCACGAATCAATCAAGCACATGTCATGTGTAATGGACTTTATTTTAGTTCTCGACAGTATTAGACCTTTATTGAAAAAATTTCAGACAAGTGAAGTTGAAGTTCGGACAAGTAAATGTCTTGGTCACTTGTTCGAATGGACAAGTAGAGAAACAAGAGGCCCAAGGGCCTCAACGGTCACCTGAGTATAACACAACAATTTAGAGGATCCATAGAGTGTAAAATGAACTGAAGGTGAAGCTTTGTTGCTCAAAAGCAAGAAAAATAGGTTGATCAGGATCAACAAAATAATTAGTCTAGTATTCATCAACAGTTCATACATTAGGTTCTAATCTGTTCCCCATTTATCACTCTCACCAGACAGTATATAAACAAACTATCAGTGCTTCTCTACTCTTTTAATTCCATATTGAAATCTCTTATATTGGCCTCTCTTGGTCTTTGATGAACATTTATAATAATAAGACAAGTTATTTTCGTCTCATTTTTATTTATCTATTACTTACAAGTCTACCTGATCATTAAAATTATGAAAGTACATTTTTGTATCATACAATAAAAATTCTTGCATAATTCTCTTATTCTATTAACCTTTCAAGTACATTATTTACAGTGATTAATTATCACAAGTAAATGGCAAAGGGGAATAACTCCTCTCAGTAGAATACAAATTAATAGAGCCCTGGCCTGGACCAGAACACTTGACCAAATGGTCTTGATGTTCAACAAGAGGCCCATGGGCCTTGAATCGCTCTTCTGATAAACTGTACAACCTATCACTTCTATTTGAAGCCTCAAAGTATCCTGTATATTTACATGAACCCTTGAAATTCCAATTCACACTCTCAGAACCCAAGATGATTCTAAGCCAATTAGTACCTGAGAGTTGGTCATGATGACCTACTTATCACTTGTCATTCTCTGAGGACCCATCAACTAAGTTTGATGATTCTAAGCCAATTAATACCTAAAGTATTTTTTAAAATTATAATCATAAAATTTTATAAGTAAGTCAAAGTGACCTACTTTTCAATTGTTTTACTCCAAGGACCCAAGATGCATCAACTGACAAAGTTTGATGATTCTAAGCCAATTAGTACCTGTAATATTTAATTAAAGCCATAAATTTTCAAAAGTAGGTCACCTTGACCTACTTTTCAGTTGCTGTACTCCGAGGACCAAAGATACATCGACTGACAAAGTTTGATGATTCTAGCCAATAAGTACCCAAAATATTTAATTACAGCCATAAATTTTCAAAAGGAGGTCACAATGACCTACTTTTCAGTCAACCTACTCCGGGGACCAAAGATGCATCAACTGACAAATTTTGACGATTCTAAGCCAAATAATTCCTGAAAATATTAAATACAGCCATAAAACTTCAAAAGTAGGTCACCGTGACCTACTTTTCAGTTGTTGTACTCCGAGGACCCAAGACGCATCAACTGACAAAGTTTAATGATTCTAAGCCAATTAGTACCCGAAATATTTGATTAAAGCCATAAATTTTCAAAAGTAGGTCAACGTGACTTACTTTTCAGTTGTTGTACTCCGAGGACCCATGACGCATAAACTGACAAAGTTTTATGATTCTAAGCCAATTAGTACCCAAAATATTTTATTAAAGCCATAAATTTTCCGAAAGTATGTCACGGTGACCTACTTTTTGGTCGACCTACTCCAAAGACCCATGACGCATCAACTGACAAAGTTTGATGATTCTAAGCCAATTAGTACCCGAAATATTTAATTAAAGCCATAAATTTTCAAAAGTAGGTCACGGTGACCTACTTTTTAGTCGATCTACTCTGAAGACCCGAGATGCATCAACTGACAAAGTTTGATGATTCTAAGCTAATTAGTACCCAAAATATTAAATTAACGCCATAAATTTTCAAAAGGAGGTCACTGTGACATACTTTTTAGTCGACCTACTCCGAAGACCCAAGATGCATCAACTGACAAAGTTTGATGATTCTAAGCCAATTATTACCTGAAATATTTAATTATAGTCATATAAATTGAAAAGTAGGTCACGGTGACCTACTTTTCAGTTGACCTTTTTTGAAGACCCAAGATGCATCAACTTACAAAGTTTTATGATCATAGGACTTAAAATGTCCAAATTATGCCTCTAAAACGCTTTGAAATCGAATGCCTGCAAAGTTCAAAAAGTAGGTCACTGTGACCTACTTTTTAATAAATATGTTTTATGGCCCCAAGATGCATCATCTTACAAGATTTAATGATTCTAAGCCTCCCCGTATTCGAATTAATGACCTTAATTGTTTTAAAAATGATTAGCCATAAAATTCAAAAAGTAGGTCAAGGTGACCTACTTTTTAGTTGACATACTTTGAGGACCCAAGATGCATCAACTGACAAAGTTTGATGATCATAGGCCTTAAATTGTTCAAAATATACCTCTAAATCATTTTGAAAAAGAATGGCCGCAAAATTTAAAAAGTAGGTCACCATGACCTACTTTTGAGTCAACATGATATGAGGTCCTTAGATGCACCAACTGACAAGATTTGATGATCCTAGTCCTTATAGTAAGCAAAATATCAACATTTTAATAAAATGTAATTTTTGGTCAACTTTGAAGTGACCTTGAGACCATGCCCTTTGCCCCAGGGTAAATCCCCATGCAAATTTTAATCTACAACATATCCTCATCCTTTTGTGTCAGTTTGGTGATAATCTGCCCAGTGGTTCTTGAGAAGAAGATTTTTTAGCAACCAGTACTTTTGTTTCTATTTTCCTAATTATCTCCCCTTGTTAAAGGGTCACAACCCCAGTTTTAGTATAAAAGGGAGCCCTTGGGCCAAGGATACCCTGTGACAAATTTGACAATAATTGGCCAAGGGGTTCTTGAGTTATGGCCCATATTCTAAAAAGTTTACGCACACCGCACAAATGGCCATAGCATTAGCTCTTCGAGCCTTTGGCTCAGAAGAGCTAAAAATCTGGTAAAAATACCCTTCCTTATTAAAACTTTTACTCTTTTTGCCTCTGATATGCCCAGGTGCAGAAAAGATTTTTAAAGCATTTATGCATTTTCACTATATAATAAATAGAGGCCGCCCTAACATCAGAACTTCTGATCCAGGGGTCATGAAATTCACAATTTTGGAAGAGGCATCCTTGCTTATCATAACTATGTATTTGTTTTTAATTGTATTTAATTTTTTTAAATAATACCCAAGAGTAGAGAAGAAGATTTTCAAAGAAATAATGAACTTTCACTATATGATCTATATAGCCCCGCCCTAGCACCAGAACCCCTGGCCCTGGGGCTATGAATTTCACAATTTTGGTAGAGTCACTCTTGCTTATCATAACTATGTATTCAATTTGTTTCAATAATACCCAGGAGTAGAGAAGAAGATTTTCAAAGAAATAATGAACTTTCACTATATGATCTATATAGCCCCGTCCTGGCACCAGAACCCCTGACCCTGGGGCCATGAATTTCACAATTTGGTAGAGGGCTCAATGCTTATTACAATCATGCCAACAGTTTAACTGCATGATGTCCTGGAGTAAAGAAGAAGATTTTTAAAGATTGCATTAATTTTGATGGTTTTGGCCCCACCCCTCAGGCCCCAGGGGGACAGGGGCCACGAATTTCACAATTTTGTTCCCCTTCACTCATAGATGCTATATGCCAAAATTGGTTGAAATTGGTTTGCTGGTTCCAGAGAAGAAGCTGAAAAAGACGAACAACGAAGGACGAAAAGAGATAGCAATAGGTCACCTGAGTGACTCAGGTGACCTAAAAAGTTAATGTCGAGCCCTGATACTCTTTCAAGATCTGTCTAAAACTGCTAAAAGAAAAGCATCGCAAAGCAGATCAAAGGTTTCGCATGAACTCATAAACTCATAAGCATGTTACTACATGTATATCCCTGCTGACTTTGTTGGGGATAATAAGCAAAAATTAAAATACAAAGAAAGTTATTCACTTCTGTCTGCTTCATTCCATTCTCTTGATGAGGGTTCGAGTCCTCATTGTGAGATAAGGTCCCATCTCGCTGACATACTGAGTCATCATTCTGAGATCTCGAGTCATCATCTTGAGATACAGCCTCAGTTTCAGCGTCTTCAGGAGCTACTTCCTCTTCCTCAACTTCCTGTTCAGAAACCTCTTCCTCATTGGTTGACTTGTTCTGAGCATCTACTCGTTTTTTCTGGCAGAAATTAAAAAAAAAAATGTTGAATTATTGAAAGATTTATCATATAATAAATACCAACTGTATGAGAATATTTATAAATATTTAATCTTTTTTTTTTCTTCAGAACAACTTGAAAATAATTTCCTAATATTGTTCTGGCTATTAACAAGAATAGTTAACCTTGATCACTGTCGAGGGTATATTGTGCTAACTAACCTTGATGGCTGTCGAGGGTATATTATGCCGTAGTTTCCATCTATTGAGCCAGCCAGAGGTAGGATTAAAAGACAGGTTTCCAAGCTTCCTTGCCTCCAGTTCCGCCTGCTCCATTATTATAGAATTAGGAATGTATTTTCCGGGGGTGTAAATGCTTTTAAACCAATTTGTAAGGGCAACCTCCATGTCTGCTGCTTTTCCGGGTCGCAGGCGTTTTCTACTTGGATTTAAATTATTCCCATGTGAGTAGATCTCCTTTTCTCTGGAAGCAATTAAGGAAATCACAGACTGAGAACAACCCATGCGCCTGGCCACTTCTGTCTGCTTTCTGCCTTGTTTCAGCAGGTCTAGGACTTGAATTTTTTGAGCAAAATTAAGGTCATTCCGTATTCTCTGAAAATGGAAGAAAATAAAACACTGTAGATGTTTTGAATTAAGTTCGTACAATATTTGGTGGAAATAGATTTATAAACAAGTTAATTTTTTTTCTAAATCTGCTTGATAAAGATATATATATATATATATATATATATATATATATATATATATATATATATATATATATATATATATATATATATATATATATATATGTATATATATATATATATATGGAAGACATTTAGAAATATACATGATTTGGAAGAAGCTGTGCTTTACACGAGATGCTAAACAGGAAAGTTTTACAGCCAATTGTAATATCAGGACTCGACATTAACGCTTGTCTGCTTGTCTGGTAACAGTGAAAAAAAAATACGGACAAGTGAATATTGCTGGGCACTTGTCCAATTGGACAAGTGCATTTTAATGTAAAGAAGTCTTCTAATAATAAAAAGAACGAATGTTGAAAGTTCATTGGTAAAGACGGAAGCAGTACATAAAAACGAACTTTGATCCCGATATGGATTGCTATGTAATTTTAGTTCACACTCAATCGGGATCGAAGTTCACTAATTGCATACTACTGCAAAGGCATGAAAGTTACGTTATGAAGTTAAGATTCTGTTTGATGTTGACAGTTTCATTTGTGAACATTTATGTTGTTGTCAGGATAGAAAGTCTAGATAAAATTTTGATTTTATGTTTTTGTTGTATTTATCAATAACATTACGAATCAATCACATGTAATGGACTTTAATTTAGTTTACAAGTGGACAGTATTAGATCTTTACTGAAAAATAAATTGGACAAGTGAAGTTGAAGTTCAGACAAGTAAATATCTTGGTCACTTGTCTGAATGGACAAGTAGAGAAAAAGTTAATGTCGAGCCCTGAATATGTTTACTGTATTGCATCAAGAATTAAAATCAACCTCTGCTCTTAAAGTGTAAAATGATAAAACACTTTGAAATTAAATAATGTTAAAAATTATCAAGAAACACTTAAATCCATTTTGGCATTTTTCCATTAGTGTACATGTAGCTCACCCTTGGACAAGACTCAATTGATTTCACTGAAATACTCTTCCTTGGCCTAACATAACAGACGATTCCATTAAGCTCATTTCTCTCCATCAAATATGAAGTGGTAAACCCACCAGGAGGTTCGGAGATATTCTCTAAACCAAACGTGCTTTTCCTTCGGAACAACTCGAATCCACCTGCTTCCCTCAGTTGTGGGCATGCACTGAAGACCGATTCTCGGAATGTTGCTGGGTTTTCGTCAATGGTAAAATTCACAACCTTGTTACCCAGATCAGCTTCATTTAGCTTCTTGACTTCAGCATGCCTTGGAACAACACGCTGAAAGGATAATGATGCTAAACATTAAAACATACTTAAATTGATTGGAAAGTCACTATGATATTATATTTTTCAAACCTACATGTATAAAATAGATATCCTATGAGATACATACAACAATATAATTGAATCTTCTTTTGAAAGTTTGGGTTTCCAAATACTTTCTCTCCAGATATTTGGATAACTTCAATTACACAATCTTAGCAGCTTATATATCTACACAATTAATGACAATTAATTCATCCCTTACCTGATTGCAGTTTGACAAAAAACAGAATTTCTGAGTCCACATTTTTTCTTTTTTGATTTCTTTATTCTAGAAAAAAAAATCATAAATATATGTACAAACATTTATGTAGCTGATATACCAAACATGAGTTTTTACATTGTATATATACTGAAATGCAACATCCTATTTTGGGGGGAAATATTACATATAGGATATAATTTTGTATCTAAAAAGTAAGGACATCTTCAACTTTGTAAATATCGGTAATTTAACGGCTGAATGATTTTCATACTATTACCGGAAGTTATGTTTGAGTCCACTTAATAGAAATCAAAAATTGCATGTTTAACAAAACATTTGACAATAATATGGGGTTTGAAGGATTTGTATCTGTTTATCATAAGTAATGCAGCAATGTTCCGAAAAATAAATTCTCATTTCTTTTCCAAGGCTTACATCACACCCCAACAGTCTCTTACGTATCATTAGCATGAATGATAGTCCTTGGACCGAAAGTCCAAGGGTTACTACACTGTGCTTGGCTACAGAAAATTCGACCTCATCATCTGAAAAACAGACATTTAAAAATGGCAAAGAATATTTTTTTTTCGCTCAGATCTCGAGATTGATAAACCTATTGCATAGTAAAAATCAAGTGTTGTGCATGGCAGTCTTGCACGCTGTAATTGAATGGCCGGGGTGGGGGTGTTTTAACAGTCATGTGTTACTTTCTAAAGTTAAAGATAACCATTCAACATTTTTATCAAATCTCTGATGTTTTTAAATCGAGTTTTACCTTACTGTATTCATTTTTGAAAATCATTTGATAAAAAATTCAAATATTTGTAGATTACTGCTTGTTGCGTTTCAGTATACGTGTATGAATACATAAAGGGGTTTACCCTATTCTGCAGTTTTTCAGTAATTTATAATCTGTCGGTAAGTTTTTCCTCAGTAATTTTGTGTTGGCAATACCTTGATTAATTTTCTAATGAACAACTGAAAACATTAAGATATGACTGATTTCTTACCGTTACATTATTATCTGTTTTGTCAGTATATCTCATACATAAAAAATAATCTGGCAATTAATCTGTGTCTTTAACCCTCTTCACCGCAGTCACGCATTTTAACGCACATACCGTTTCCTATTTCTAACGCAAAATCACGCATATACCGTTTCCCCGCAATCACGCACTTTCAAAAGTACATTTAATCTTCAATTTAATGCCAATTCCCTTCTAATCTACACTTGCTAAAATCTCATAAAATAAGAAAGGTTATAATCTTATTAAAATATTACGTCATAATTATTTACGCTAAACGTTAGAGAAACTTGTACCTCGCTATAAAGTGCTTGCGGGGAAAAGGTAACATCATATTTCTATGACATGAACATTAAGTGTATGTTGCGTCACAGTTCAGTAAGTTGTAAAGAGTTAAAGTACTTAAATGAATCCCTATCATTTCTAAGCGTTCATATGACATAGAAAAAATCAAAAATCAGAACATAATCCAGAAGCGTAATATTAAAGAGTCAATCCGTAACCTGTATTTTTAAAATAAAATCTGGGATAAATACTGAATTTGCATAATGGAAACTGCTATGGAATACATTACTTATCCTATCTGAATCTGTATAGGGCCTAGATCTGAATTTGATTCTCCGTTTTAAGACAGGCAAAAGGAAGACCCCTATAGAACTTATTGTATAATGAACAAAAAATTAACAAAGATGATTCTACACATGTTAGCAGAACAAAGAAATGCTTCATTCACTTTCTTTCTTATATCTACTCATGCTTTAACATAAACACATGTAATTAGAAGTAAAGGTACATGTACCAGATTATCTTCTGTGACCATCACACTCGGACTTAGTACTCGTTCAATCTCTGTGTTTTCTGGTTCCTCAGTTACAATATCATCATCCACTGTAAAAGATACCAGTCGAAGTAGTGACTAAAATTTGTAATCCTCTATCAAGATTGCCTCTTATGGTCTAGTTTCTCAACAAACTAAATTTATGACCCTAATTCCAAAATGTTTAAAAAACATTATTTCTATTTAATTTATGTCTACTGATTTTTCCCTACATAAAATTAGATCCTTAAATGTGAATCCTCTAGACTTTACTTTTTATTGATGTAACATGAATTGACTAATCCCTGTGTGTTAGTCAAGTGAGCTAATCCCTGCTTTGAAAGCTAATTCCCAGGCCAGTTGTATTGGTATGATAAAGAGTTAAAAATTATATCTTTGAGGGAGTTAGCAAGATTCCAGTTCCCTTCAGCCAACTCCCTCAGTGATACACATATGTATACCTTAACTGTATACTATGCAACCCCCCCCCCCCACTTTTCATTTTAGTCATACTAAATTTGCATTCAAACAAAACATAAACAGATCACGGCCAAACACAAAATCTTCCCTAGAGTAATTGATGAATCGGAGTGTCTAAATGTCTCAAAGTACATGTAGAGCTTAAGTAAGACACAAATACACTGAGATATATCAGCATTCAAAAAACATTGTCCAGTGAGGAAATTAAAATGTAACAAACATTATTCAAATTCCTTTCAACTGGTAGCATATGAATTGGAGTTGTTCTTTATTTGTGTATCTGAACATTTTCATTTCTGAGTTATGTCCATTGCCTTCATCTGTGCTACACCAAACAGTTGAACACCATGGTTGTACTATGCTCTTTGATATCTTTTTCTCTTGAAGAGAATTATTATTCAATTACTTAGCTTGGTCAAAATTGGGATATAACTACCTCAGTTATTGGAAATATCAACAAGTGCTGTCTCGCTTTGTCAACTATCTCTAAAATGCTTAGTACATTTGTATCTTCAACAATAAATGTATAAATATTGTTAGAGTATCGATGAACCTTAAACCCTTACCCTCCATCTTCAATGGTATGCTATCTATCTCTGTCTGTACATGTTCTGTTGGTGATAACCCTGCTAGAGAGAACACAACTTTAGAAAAATTTCATGTACGGTGTTCACGGGTTAACTACAAGCAGTAAGCTAGAAGCCATTACAGACAATTTTCTAATTTTAACCATGGTTGTGATTTAAAACATTCAGTAATTGTTCAAAACACTCCAAATAGCATAATTTTCCCTGACAATATTTTCTTCATATTTCAAAATATTAGACTCTGACCATTATAACTACTGTTTGAAAAACAAATTAATCAGAGACATTATCATAGTCTTATATAGATAACTCAAAGGAGGTTTTGGTTATATACTGTAAACCAACTATTATTCGCGTTGTCTTTTATTCAGGATTCTTCAGTTTGAAATCAGTTCGCAACGATTAATTTCTGTGATTGAGGAAACATTCTCTACAAATACAAAGCAAAATAAATGGTTCATGGAGATCAATATTCACGAGTTAAAGTAGGTCGCGAAACTTGGGGATATTTCTCGCGTGTGAATTAAAGTTGGTTTACAGTAAGTCAAATGCTGACCACTTACTTACTGTTAATACAGGAGTCCCTTGTTAATCATTGTAACGTAATTAATACAGTACATTTACTTACCGGTACATGTAACACAATCTTCATCTTCACTGTTCTGCGTTTCTGTGTTAGGCAGCGTCCTACATAATATTAAGAAGATAAAAGTTTGTGTTTTAGAACATCAAAGTTCCTGGCCATTCTAAATTTCCATTTGACCCTTAGGCTCTCAGAACTTAGCTAGTACATATACACTTGTACATTCATTTTTTAGGGGTGAAATGATGCACCTCCTTCAAGATATGATATGTATAATTTTGTCACTGTACAGTTATTTACAGTTATTATACAATAGCTAGATTTTGATAGAAAGAAACAAAATCAACATTGTTTGCTGCTTTGTTTCACTAAATCCAGTCACTTAATCTACATGTAAATTTTATGTTTTTAAAATTCAATTATGCTGAGTAGCATGCTTTTCTCTATGCCAGACCTGACTAAATAACAATCCTGGCTGGAAAGTAGGGATGTCAACGAGTACCCGGTTAACCGGGTACTCGATCGAATGACCGAGTATCGAATACTAAAATCGGTACTCGGTTACTCAGATGTATATTTTTTTCATATTTCAAATCGCATATATTTATTAAAAACTTCTCAAAAAATGTGATTTAAATATGCATTGTCCATGTCTATACAGTAATTAGCGTCACTTACACCCCTTATCGCCTATGGCTGTGTACATGAATAAACAGTAATTAACGTAATGAATCACTTAACACTGTACACAGCCATTCTCACCTCTTGTGACCCTAATTTTTAGATGGCTTTAATAAAATGTTTTCAATGAACATCATTTAATTATGACAGATTATCTAATTAGCGTACGGAAGCGAAAACGGACATACATAGAAATACCTCTACCAATTCAAAAGTGAAGTAATATTTTAAATAACCGATGATTTAAAAAAATGTTTAAAGTCAGCTGTGCATAGTAGCGTATATGGTGGAAAGGGGGGGGGCATATATTTAAGGAATCATTGTTTAGTTTGTGGGGTATGCCACATCGTCGCAAGCCACAGGTTTTGTGTCCATTCTATTTCCACAAACCCGTGGCTGTCTCCTACAAATTTCTCTCATTCTCATGAATATTAATAACACATTCAACCAATGGAATAACATCTGACGCTTCAAGTCAGAACCAATGAAAATGATCAGTCTATCTTGTATTTGGATGTAACCATAACCACGAGCCACGAGCTGTACATCAACTTCGGTTCGAATTTCCTTTCTTAATGAGTAACGCTATTCAGCGTTCTCACACAACGTCTACATTCGAAACCCTGTATTTTAATGTAAAACCTTGTAAGTATTTTAGAATATTCGTTACTCACCTCTGTTCTTCAGGATCTATCGTACTTTTTTTTGCAATAAATCTGCCACGCATAGCATTATGGGCGCCACATTTAAGCATACCAAAATTGCTACAGAGTGATTTCATTGGTCAAGGTAAATCTGGCGTCACTTAATAAATATTCAATGATTCAGTCGCGAGAACGAGAGAATTTGGTAGGAGGCAGCCACGGGTTTGTGGAAATAGAATGGACACAAAACCCGTGGCTTGCGACGATGGGTATGCCAGGGCATCAACAGTTGGAAACGTGGGATAATTTATGTATAACAAGTGAAGTTGTAAATATCAAGAAATCAACATACTTTAAAGTTATCACAGCCAAAACATTTCGAAATGTAAATAATATACGACTAGCCATCATGACAACGTCCGTTCCCAGAGATATTCTCTCACTAGTCTAATCATTACAAAGTTGCGTCCTAATTCTCTTCCGTTGATTAAATTGTCTTGCTAAACAAGAACTGTAAAGCATTTGTAATAATTATTGGTGCATTAATTGATTATGTCTTTTGTGTTTGTTTGATACATAAATTAAGTACCAAAAATTGTTTTCGCTGGGCTCAATGTTAATGTACTTGCATTATAAACAAAAGAAAACATCGATGGAGTAAAAAGGTCTCAATAAAATCAGCAAACTTTTACATGTACACTTTTTCCGAGTACCCGGGTACTCGATCGGAAAATCGTCCGAGTAACCGATTTTCAAATATTGACCGATTTGACATCCCTACCAAAAAGTAAACCAAACTGAAGATTTTGCACAACCTATCAAAACATGAAAAAATACCATGATAAAGAGTTTCACCCCTACCATTATTTAAGAAAATGGTCTACCCAGATTTCTTTTTTTTTACCCGTTTCCTGCTGTAGACATAGGCCTGGTCTCTCTCCCTTTTCTCTTTGCACCATTTTCCCTCTCTATAGACGTATCTGGGAAAGTCCTGTACCTAAGAAAATAATGAAAATGGTTTTCCTTTACCATGTTTACACATATGTTAAACAATGATAATCTATAGAGGTATGTTTTTAGATAAAACTATATAAATATTGTACATATATAGTTACTGATGGGACTTAATTATTTTCCTTGGTGGGAATCATGTGGGATTTATTTTTTCCTTCAAGACCTTTCTTTAGATACGCCCGAGTTCTTTGAGACAATCTGAGCAAAATTGCACTGGTATATGCTTTTGTACAGACTGTCTCATAACCCTGTGTTTTAGTACGTCCCTTTTTGCCAATATAACAAGATATTATCATATGCAATATATCATACATTGCCTATATATTGCTAGTTCATGTGCAGTAAGCTTAACTGTCATAGGTAGCGAAAAATCAAGTCTCAACCTAGACTCGAACCCAGGGCCTCTGGCGTACCTTGCCAGTGCTCTAACCACTGAGCTTTTAAGACCCGGTATATTGACTGACTTTCACTCACCTGTGAACCCGGTGACATGACCATTTACTTTAAATTATATGCTTGGGTCAGACATTGCAAATTAAAACATGACAGACCATATAGAATAAATAACCTAGCCTAGGTACATTGTATTACCAGTTCTGGTTTAGTTGTAACTACTTCATATAAACGCATATTTATTTATCAATAAAATGTGACAGTCAAACATTCATCAGGTCCAGGAAAATCACTATATTTAGCTATATAGCTTAATTTACCTATATAGCTTTATTTACCTATATAATATAGCTTTATTTAGCTATTTTACTAGAATAAGTTTCTGTTTTATGAAAAGCAAATAAAAAGTCGCATGAAAATTATGGCTGATATTTTTTTAAAAAGGTTTGATAAAAACAACCTAGGGCATAGATAGTAAAAACACTACCTCTTTTAAACACTTTTTAACCAAAAAATGCATCTCTATTGTTTGGATAGCTGTCCATTACTGGAAGTGCGATGAGGCATGACTAAGTGTGATTGCCTTGCATTGTGCTGAATTATTACCTATCAATTATCTTGTTGACCAAAACTGCTTTTCTTTGTTAAAGTAGCTGCTTATTCACAGATTAACTGTTATACATAGCCCCAAAACTTTTAGATCTTTGATTGCAATTGCACAAAATAAGAAACATTTTTAAAAGTGGGTTTTTGGTGAATTGTTTTCAGCCCATTTCAAAGTTGAAAACTAATACTGCCTCATTATGCGACTTTTTGTCTGCTTTCTTAAAACAGAAATTTACTCTGAAATAGCTAAATAAAGCTATATTATATAGGTAAATAAAGCTATATAGGTAGATTTAGCTATATAGCTAAATATAGTGATTTTCCTAGACCTGTTCATTTGCAAACATTTGTCAGGTTGGGACCAATTGTCCAAATGGGATATAATAGCCAGTTTGGGATATAATATCCCAAATGGGATATAAATTGACAATGCAAAAATTTAAAATTTTTATCTAGGCTATAAATATCAAAAATCCGCATCAAGATACTTATAAAGGAATAACTTTTGGTTAACAAGTTTTTCTGTATGACTACTGTTTAAGAGATTGATCCCTCGGAAGTTCGTAAACTTCTTGGGGATCAATCTAACAACCCTTAGGGTTGCAGAAAAACTTGCTTGTCAAGTTATTTCTTTTAAAGTATTTTGATGCGGATTTATGATATTTATAGCCAAAATAAAAATTTTCATTTTTTTGCACTGTAAATTTATATCTCATTTCGGATATTCTATCCCAGACGGGTTATTATATCCCATTTGGGCGATTGTTCCCAACCTGTTTGTGATATATCTTTTGTCAAATTACCAATGGTCTAGCAGGATTTGTATTCCTTCCGAGTCGCGTGTACATTTGACTTTAATCTTGAAATTACACCATCTTTTAAACTGCTGTTTGCATATTGATATTTTTAAAACTTCTTCATCTAAACGACGTCTCTTTCCTCTGAATGAAAAATCCTCTGTAGGCTCCCGCTCACATGTCGCCATACTTGTTTACAATGAAGCGGTGTCGTAGGTATTCGTTTCCTAACTATTTGATACCTCACGTCTTTTTAAAGCACCCGAATTTTAACTTGCTTATACAATGTGAAATTAAATACTTTTTCAAACCAAGGTAATTAATTAATATGTAATTGTGAAATTAAATAATTGCTTTCAGACCCCCCCCCCGCTGATATATTCCCTCGCGCATAGTTTAAGGTCATATACATTTTGTATAGGTTCGCCATTATTCTTGTTCGCCATATATCTCGTTCGCCCTATTATATATTCAGTATATATACATGTAGTAAATATCAACATTTATCATTAATTTTATTCAATATTTTACAAATTGGTGGGGTTTTTTTTCAAATGTTGCTATGTACAGTATTCTTTTTTTTATTTACCGTAATCTTAATTAAATAATTCAAATTTGATATTTATGCTCTTTACATGCTTAATTGGTTTAATTATACTTAATATCGTCACTGTAATTTAGGGGATCATACAATCTGCGTTATGCTTTGAAAACAATTAAAGGACTGAGATGTTAATTTCTGTTGGTCCGTCGGGTTTTGATGGGACTGGTATTTATAGTGTGACCACATGCATATGTCTGTTGTACCTGTGGTAAAGTGTAAATATTTGAAAAGTGTATATAGTTTTAGTATTTTAGATTTTGTGTTTATTTGACAGGTTTAGTATTATCATCTACAAAATAATTGTGACATTATTATTTACAGGAAATTTATTTAATTTCACTTATTTATATTTCAGGAATTTATTATTTATTTAAGGTATATTATACTTTAGAATATATAATTATTTAGGAATTACTTTAGTATTAATAAATATAAGTTCCCTTATTGTAATAAACTTTGAGAGGTCAGTGACCTATGAAGTGACCCATCAGTGAGATTTCATTGGTCGGGGTTTTTGGAGGGAAATCTCTTTGTGGGCAGTGTATTTTTGGTTAGAACTGGTCATACCAGTCTTTGTGTTCAAACTGAGAGGATGTCTTGATGTTCCTGATTTCATACATTTTTGGGGAGTAGCAGTTTATTTTCTTTGATTGTTTAATTCCAGAATTTCAGGTCTGTTCTTTATATTATTTTCATGTATGATTGTGATTTTGTATGTTTGAGTGAAAGTGAGTGAAAAAGGTGTTTGAATGGTGAATGCAAGTTTGAAAGATTGTGTATATGAGCAGTATAAATATTTTATCAGACATTTCACTCTTAATTCAAGGATTAAATTGTATATATGTAGGACTGAGTGAAATGAATAAATAAGTCTAAAGTTGTAAAACTATTTTTTATAATTAACTTGTATAACTGTAATGTGATTAATAGTAAAATTAGGAATTTTATCTTTTGTTTCATATAATTTAAATAATTCTTTCAATTTAAAAGCATAGGTATTTTTCATTAAATAAAGCAGTTATTATTATTAAAGATTTTTAAAGCAGCTAAGGGAGATTACTCATTGTTATGCATTCCTTATAGGACTGTCACAGCTACATGTGTAACAGCTAGTATATAATCCAGACCTTTTGACCATATTAAAGGTAATTTATGTGTTTTATGTTTATGTGTTGTTCCATTATATGTATGTGTTGACAGAACTTATTTTTGAGTATTTGTCATGCATGTCTATATTTTATGTTGAATTAAATTTCATGTGTGTTGTGTCCAATGCATGAAATTGTATTTGTGTTAATGTTCAATATGAAATCACATAAGATTATTTGATTTAGAATTATTTAATATCAGATAATGATTTTGATAATTATTATGATTTTTTTTATTTTTAAATGACTAAATTAATAAAGGAATTATTTTTATGATAAATTGATCTGTGATAAAGAAGTGGTAATTATTTTTATATCAATTTAATTTAAAGAGAATATGAATTATAAAGTATGAGATTTATTATAATGATGATATACTATAATGGAGTTAAATGTGTATTTTTAGCTTGTCTAATAATTGTTATTGTTATTACAGGGTCTACTATATTATACTACTCTACTGTTACCATGGTTACTATTATTTAATAAAATACAACAATGAAGCAAGGATCAACTGCGTTTTTAAATTATTCAACGAACCCTATTACATACCAATGTACATATAATCTATTTAAAAAATCCATTGGTTCATTATTCAACTTTCTGCAATATAAATAAGGCGAACGGACCCTCTGCGAACAAGTTTTAGGGCGATCGGACTCTGGGCGAACGGGAATTAGGACGAACGGCGTCAAGGGCGAACAAATTTTAGGGCAAACTAACATACAACCTTTTGTATAAAGAAAAAAAAATTCAATTCATTTATGATTTTTTTTTTAATGTGAAGTTATTTTCGGACTGCATGGATTGCCAGGTCACTGAAGTTTCGAAGATAAAGGCAAAGAATATTTACCTAAATAAAACTTATATATATATATATGTTCTTATGTATATATGGGCAAGGATCAGCTATTTGTAAATAATAACGGCCGTCACAGTGAAAAAAATTGTGTCAATATTTTTACACTTTTTCTAGTAAACATCTATATTTATATCTACCTTCACGAATTAAAAAAAAAAATAGTTGTGTTTTTATTTTTTAAGAAAATCGCATCCAAATATAGGTGATCAAAAAGTGACGGGCGTTATGTTGACACACTTAATGCGAATTTTGAAGGTTTTTTCGCCCTCCTCGAAACGTTAAAAAACCACCACATGCATGAATCTGACCACACTTCCACTTGGAATGAATTAGACAGCTTTTTATGACCTATCTGTAAAATAAATAAGGCACAATTAATCGTGATGGAGGTGACGTCAAATTCTCTTGCTGTAGCATTTTCATCATTCTTTAAGTACTTTCAGCAAAGAAATCGTGTTTTCGGTGTTTTTTTTCACTACATGAGGAAATAAAACTAGTTTTTCATTTTAAAAAAGCAGAATAAGGTACATTACTTCTTCCTTTAACAATTTTTTATCCTGTTTAATAAACGGATGTTATATTTGACCTTTTGACAAAAATGGATTTTACAAATTGACAAACTAAGGTTTGCTAGTTACGGAGGTTACCTTGACGCTGATTTTTAAAGCATTTCGTAAGTTTTCTTAAGAATACACATGATTTCATATATGCAATGAAGTTTGTGTGTCAAATATCTACATCCAAACATTCTGCTATTACTATAATAATTAAAACTACTGCAAGTATTTTCATTAATTTTTTAAGCACTGTGACGGATGTTACAATATAACGTCCGTTACGGTTTTTCATGGTAGTTACATTTTAACTCTCTACGGGCTTTGTAATTTTTATTTAGTAAATTTATTATTTGTTCTTCATTAATCAGTTAACACACAACTGAAGTTTACTGATAAAATTTTATCTTTAATAACATGATAAGAAAAAAAATTGGTATCAGCACAGATTAAGAATGGTCAAATCATAACAGGCAATCAGCCAAGAAAATCATTAAGGAACTGGTAGCATGGCATCTGAAAAGAAAATAATTTTTTTTAATAACCAAAACAGCGAAAAATATGTCCATAAAATTTTTATGTTACATAATCGAATCATTGTGCTTCAGAAGTTAAGGTTTGACATTGTTTTCTGTCAAACTGTCACATCCGTATATTTTATGTTAGTCAAAATATATAACTGCCGAACTCTATGATCGTAATCAGGTAATAGTTCTAAAAAAATGCTTAACTTTTGTGTCAAAAAATAACAATTATAGATTTCAACACATTGGAGAACAAGGCTTGTCCATTTTATCATTAAATATTATATAAATCTTATGTAGTTATTAGCGTGACGCCTGTTATCTACTAAGAAATGTTGACCGACAATACAAACTCACCCACTTTGCCTCCTTTTTTTAGACGGTGGCTATTTATAGCCACAGGCTATTGCTGCTGGTCTGGGCTATGAATAAACAACAGTGTAAAATCACGGGGACCCTAGCGGCGATTTTTGCAGAGACAAAATAATGAAAGTGGGGTCGTTTCGATGTTCGAAAATAAAATGCACATGGTTCTCAAGTTATTTCAATGACATTTTGTTGATGGGCGCAAAGTTTAATTCCTTATATTTGCCGTTATATTAATATTTCTCGCCTCATGAATATTCATTAAATTACGCCGACTTAATGTTAATTCGTACAAAAACTGATTCGTATATAAGGAGTCAATTCGTATGCAAACCACAGAAGTCAATTCGTACATAACGTTTGCTGAACATGAAACAAATGCAAAAAAGTCAGTTCGTACACACGGCCTTTTTTACGTTGTGTAAATGTTAAATTTCAATAGAATTTATAAAAAGTAAAAAAAAAAATCTGGGGGGAAATATTCATGGATAATGGTTTCATATTATACCTTACCATCTTAGGAAATAAAATAATTATTATTAAACCAATACAGTTTACATGTTTACTGACCTTGATCGATTTTATTTTGGGACAACCAATGAGAATTCGGGATATATATATCAAACAAAAAGGTAAAACTACTATACAATTCTTGAAGTCTTTCAACCTTATAAAAATAAGTAAATTACTGGAAATTTGACAAAAATGGGGATCCAAAAATAAAGTCTATTTCATTATCTTTCAGCATATAATTTATGTTGCACAATCTACCGTACAACGCCAAAAGTGATTCATCATTTCCCTTTTTACCATATATTTTAAGAAAAGTTAGTTTTTGTTTAAAAAAATATTGTGAGTTCAATTTTACTCCAGATTAGCAAAAGGAGTATTCTACTTAAGTATAGTAGTGTGGTCCCTTTTTACACCCTTGGTTTACCGGTTAGATATTAGCGTACTGTATTTTGATTGTTTTCATTGGGTATAACGACGTATTTCTAATTAAAACATTGTGTATTTATAATGAATAATTAAACATATCAAAAAATACAAGCCTATTTTTAACACCTATCGCACTAAAAAATGCCGGAACATTTTCCCCCGATCAGACTACGGTTTCTCTATTACATGGAAATGGGCGGAGACATTTAGATTAGATACTATAAAAAGAAGATCTTGGAATTATATTTTTCGTTCAAAGACGAATTATATGTTCAAGATTCACAATCATCTACAAAACAATTTTCTATTAACAAAACTTTGGCAATAAAAGCTGTAACAAGATGAACCAAACAAGTCCATGCTGATCGACATAAAACTGAGTACGTTTCAACTGAGAACTAGCACGTTTACTGGGGGCATTTACCCGTTATGATACAAATCCACGTGGCTTGCTATGATTCTAAACAGGTCATAAAGAGGTTAATCGCATGTAAATGAAGTCAACGAAGAGATTCAAAATCATAATACTTTTAATTAGAAAACATAGAGCACAAGGTTGTTCAACAAAGATATTTTCACTCAACCTTTACACATATAATATACACATTATATTTCAAACTCGACTCTGAACAAACCTGTGCTCGGTGTTAACGAAAGCTTTGAAGTGTGTACCTGTCACTGATTTCTTTTGATATTCATGAAAATCAAAGGACCCTACCTTCAACGCGCAGCTTCGTATGCTGCCTATATCTATTGTTTGTCATTCTTAGATGATGATTCAAATAATAAAGACATTAGTTAATGATAAAATTTAATTTTTAAAAATTTTATTAAATGTTCGAAATTTGACGAGTAACCGGGGACCACAGATAAGCCTTACTGAGACTTTTTCTTTGATAATTAAGCACTGAGTATAAGATTTTAAATTATAAAATCACAATTTCTAACTTCAAAGCACCACGATTTCATGACACTTTTTGTTGTAAAATTTAACTTTTTCATTGATACTTGATATCACTGAAATGTATGCTGATAAGATTATTTTCAAATTATGCAAAGAAGGTACAATGAATTCGGAATTTACTGATACTTGCTCATATCTGCAACTCACAATAGGTTTAATAATTGTTCCTCAAATATCTCAAACACATTTCTGCTAAAAAAAAAAATGCACATCTAACTTGGAAGAGCGCCTGCATGTATAGAAAGCTATCTTAAAATAAATATGTTCGGTCACCACATGAATATATTAGAACCTTTGATTCCCTTAATTCAACATTTAGGGTAAAATGAATTGTTTTAAGGATTAATTAATGGGAAAAAAAGATTGAAATGATCAAGCTTTCGTTTCTGGCATTTCAGCGCATTTTTTTTCTTCAAACATTATTTTATAATAAAACTAAATAAATGTAGAAAATTTCATGCAATAAATTGTTTAACAACTTCAATTACCGGTAATACATGTCCTCATCATACTGACGCAAATATAAAATAACTCATCAAATACATGTATTATGAAGAAATGCAAACTTTCATAATTTCCATATCATTTTACAGATTCTCATATCATTTAATTTAATTTAATTCATTCATGTCAGTGGCCAGTAATTAGAGCGTTTGCTCTAGAGTCAAGGAGTAAGGAGTCGATCCTTAAGTCGCGGGTTCGAATCCCACTGCGGGACGTGGAGACCGGTCCTTCGGATGAGACCTTTAAACTGACGTCCCGTGTCGCACTAAGTGCTGGCCAGATCCCTCACTGCACAATGGCCCTGAGTGCTGAGTATAGATATAAAATTTGCAGTCCACCAATGGCAATGGTGGCGTCTCATTATGAGTGAAAAATTCCCGAGAGGGACGTTTTAATTAAAACAAACAAACAAACAGAATTATTCATGCCACCGTCTATCAGTACTCACAGTACTTTGATTTGTATCATGGTCACTTTTGATTCACGTATTCTGCAAATGAGTGGTAAAACTAATAGAAAAAACGAACTGGTTCTATATATCGCATATGCAAGTCATTTTACGCCCTAGATTACGGACCTTACAAATTTGACCGACACCTGTGTACCTTTGCTAAATTTGCGATAATTTAGTATTTTTAAAATCCTTTACGCAGACGTTATGGGAAAGCACCTATTGAGTATAATTTTAAGTTAAACCTAACATAAAATATTCGTATATTTTCTATACAGTTACATACATTTCAATGTTTAAAGTCAACCCATCATGTTGACCGACATAACGTCCGTTATA